ATTCATAGAAATTATATGGTAGGATTATAAAAAATAATGTCTACTTTATTCCATCATTTATGCCAGTTATTTTACCTTCTATTTTATTTTTTTTTTACCTTGTCTACTCTTCTACTTTCCCACGTGGATAAGTTGGTTAGGTTAGGTTAGGTGGAAGACTCGAATGTGGGGGAGGGGGTATAAACATTACTCGTTAACACTCTACCTTCTCCGTTTAAATGTATGGCCATCCTAAATTATATTCCCAAACTGTATACTGTACCTGAATGACAATTATTTCCCCCCAGTACTGTAATTCCACCTTAGGACATGTATTTAAACTTTCCCTCTTCCCCAAGGCTCGTAGGCTGAATTCTTTCATCCCCGCCACCCATCTCCGGAGACACACACGAAGACCGATTCCTAAACGTTCGTATATGCTCAACTTTCCCTTAACTGGAGATACGATATTACAACCAACTGGTTCCCAAAACATCAGTTGGTTAATATGGATTCACAGAGGTTCGTAGAAATTACACTAGAGACTCCGCCGAAACCCCCGATACCTTCCCTCTTAAATAAATAAATAAATAAAAAGGCCCCGGTTAAATCGATTAACTATTTGCCATTAATTGTATACCAGTACAGTAACATGTTGACCTAAAGTGAACTTGTGTGTGTCAATGGATATCGTTCTTTAATAATCATAAACAGAATGAAAAGTCTTCAAAGCTAAACCAGTAAACGGCGGTAAAAACAGCACCCGGAATAAGAGAAAGAAAAACCACTTGCTTGAAGAACCAGATGTACGGGTTTTTTTTGTTTTTTTGTCACCCGAGTTTTCTCTGGCGCGTCTAAACCCTCTAACCACGATGGATGTTGATAGTCTAACAGGGTTTAACCACTTTACAATTATAGTTTAATTACCCTAGGACCATGTTAAAGAACGATGGTTTAATACGTTGGTGTAATCCTTTCAAAGTTTGGTCAGAGGTTTGTACGTTAAACTTTCCCCATAACAGGTGATGTGAGGACGCTTATAACACCCATCTTTTAAGCCAAGACATAAGAGGATTTTCTCAAATATTCATACATTAAGTTTCTCTCCCAACACCATGTATCCCTTACGCAGGGATTGGAACGTTATATTTCCCGTTAACAGATGACGTGATAATGCATTTTACTTCCTTACATACATAAAATTGTAAAAGACCGTAGATAAAATTCCCCTCAATCAATAACTAATAATATGAGAACACGTCAGTCTCACTTAAGTTACAACCTAAAAATGGATTCTTAAAATTTCCTAAGTCAATGTAGAACGCATCTGATTGGCTCCAGTACTATATATTTCCCCATAACTTACAGTATGGATACTTCATACTAACTCACGTAGACTAGACAAAAAAAAATAACAAAAAACACCAAAATAACATCGTAACTAACAAAAAAAAATATATCTCATCTCCAGTTACGAATCGCTGAAAATCTCGCACCAGGACAGGAGCTTAACGCCGGAGGTAAACAGGTAAATTGCCGTTCGTTAACAATAGGATAAGATGATTAGCATCGCCTGACTGTCCTGACGAAGATAGAATATTTGCCATTATTAAACTGTGATAACAACGACAGGATAGTCGTAATGTCTTTCCGGTGGCAGGTTATTGTTCTTACGATGAAGGAAAATAACCGTTACAAGTGGTTTAGTGTAGATCAAGTCATAATATTATGATACTGTTGATGCTATGACAAAGGATAATTACAGTACAGTTGTTACTACGAAGGATAATTATTAACGTAGAGCAGATGTTACAATGGCAGGATAAGTTGTGGTGTCCTTCAACATAAGGATAAAGAGATGGTCGTGTCGGTATTATCCCCGCCGAGGCCAGGCCATAAACATGTGTCCCATTGTCCCCCGTGACCTTGGAGGTGAAGGTAACTTCTGGGAGGAAGTATCTAGACATCTACCTGCGGCTCATCCTCACCCACACACAACTTACACGCTAAACAGGTACACAGATGTTAATACTGTACATACGACTGTTTATAATTACAAAAACACTCATAAGTAACAGCCTTGGTAATACTGTCCGTAAATGCACTGAAAAGCTCCATAGGGACAGTACTATATTACACTGTCTACAACGATACCTATGTCCCTCTCTCATTAAATCTTCTGCCGTACATATTATACACACTGTTTATTCTCTAACATTGTGAATAAATGTTACTTTTATCAACATTATTTAGTGCCTAGTCTTAATGCTACTATGACAGCACAAAATTCCTGTCCTACCTCCTAGTGACGACAGTTGTTCGTTGCTACATGTGAGTGCAATGTATTACTGCGTTTTAAGAACTGTGTAAGGGTCCTCTCTGTGCCGAATAAAATCGTTATTACACACACACTAGTCTTTGTCATCTTCATGGAGCCGATTCGCCCATTTTTGGTGGGAGTTCCTTTAGCCAAGCCACCACAGTTTACATTCACCTGGCCTAAAAATGTAAAAAATTAAAATTCCGCATATTCTTATCATTATTTCTCTCCCGTTTCAATGTTTGGGTAGAGAGAGGTTTGTGACAGCACAGCTACAACAGCCAAACTACGGGGCACAGTAAACGTATAATAATGCATGTCAAAATAATGAGTAGTGAGCAGGTGGCGAGGGAGAAAACGGGACTTTTATTCTGTACCCAATATGCCAAAGAAAGATTACCATACTATGAGAATGTTTATTTGACCCAACGCCAACTAGTGACAGCGATGATGCATACTGTACTACACTGTATATCAAAATAAATAAAGACAGTTACTCAAGTATGCGGATAATTAATGACTGGAGTGATGAAGGCACGAAAAGACTTATTCACGTCGAGTCAAAACGAATCTTTTTATGCAAACCAGAATGATGATTGATGGTAAAAACAACACAATAATATATATATCAAAGGTAGATCTCTAAGTAATAAACACAAAGTCAGTGAACGACCCAAGACTACTCAACCACCATATACTCCTTTGGCAAAACTTTTCCAGAACTTTCCTCCGCGAACACAAACCCACCACAGTTAATAAAGTGAACACAATACCACGTGCTCAAGTTTCTCGAGCCAACCAGTGGTTTAAATTTTTCATGAAACCAATTTCCTGCTGCCTACTGTACGTGTTTATATGAGTTTTAATGGGTTACTGAGGCCCAAAACCTGTGTTAGGTGATCACTCTTCTTGGTTGTTTAAATTTTCATATAAACTACAACAGAAATGTGTGACTGCTTGTGTAGGCATTGGCAGGTTGTGTTAAATTATCATGGATTAAATAAAACTAAGTTTAAGCGAGGGGTATCTTATGTTACTTTGGTCGAGGTTAATGTCGGTTAGTTTAAGTTACTATTATTAGACTCAAGTCAATTTGAGAGATCAAGTTGGATTAGGTTAAGTTGAGCGTGTAAAACATTATTTGGTTGAGTGGATTAGACTTGATGAAAGGTCAAAGGGATTAATCTGATTGTGGTTAATACTGTAATATTTCAGTTCGGTTTGATCTACTTAGAATTGCTTTCAGTTGGGTTCATTATATTCTGGACGTGTTAAGTTGGTAACAATCACCTTAGTTGTGGCTGAGGAGTTAGATATTGTTCGATTAGTACGACGGATTAATTTATTTGGGTAAAATTAAACTGGCGCACTAACTATAGTTGAGGCTAATATGGGTTGGTATAAGTAGGATTTTTTTTATTCTTGCAGGATAAGTAAGGTCAGGTTTACGTCTGGACAAGGAAGGTTAAATGGTAAACGTACTGTGTAGAATGTGCCATTGCAATTCACACCAGTTTAGAGCGTGCCGGTATTGAGCGAAGCATCCGTTAGGGTGTGGGCGTGGATGGGCGCGGGCGGCGGGAGTAAGGACCCTGGCCGCCGCGCCGCCCACTTGTCTACCATCCCTAATATGGAGGCTGTTGCTATGGTTTGATGTGTGATCCCTTGATCAGAGGTATTGGAGTGACTGAATAATTCCCCATCAAACTATGTGTAGCGATCTGCCAGTGAATTTTCATGTTTTCGGTTACAACCCCGACTAACCTGGCCCAAATGACTTCACCTAACCTAGATAACGTATCTTAACCAAATCTACATAGTCCAACCTAACGCAGCCAATATAACCCAACCTCGGCTAAGCTAAATGATGGGCCTCTGTCATTTATACCCCTTAGTTGCTGCCCAGCGTTTAGGTAAGGGTCAAAGATAACCTCGCGAGGATTTAATTTCATTTGGATCATGTGTTGAAAGATTATTTCTGGCTGTCCAATGTTTGTCCTAGCATCTCTCACTGACTGGCCCCGTCTGTTACTCAAGGCTAAGGTTTACTCGTGGCACAATAGATGATTGGCACAAACTACTTGTTCAGTACAGTATTTGTGATCCTCTTATGGCGATCTGTGTCAATGCTTCCGGTCACTTGTTTAATCATAAATGTCATTTCTTAATACAAACGTAAACGGCTGGGTCACCTTACATACTGTACTTATAACACAAATTATCATGTTCATCTTTTGTTCAACTACAAATATTATTTTTATTAAGGATTACTTCGAACAAAAAATATTATTTAATTATATTCCGACACTGACCTTCCTCTACAAAATAGTTGGCAGGTCGCGGGGCTAGTAACTTTTAATGAACTACAAGATTTTAAAATAAAAACTATTAAAAAAGTGAACAAATACACAGCTTGATAACCAAAAGTTAAACCAAATATTAGAAACATTAAAAAAAATTCACAAAACCATTATACTCTTATACAGTATTTGTATCATATATATATATATATATATATATATATATATATATATATATATATATATATATATATATATATATATATATATATATATATATAGTACTGAAGAAGGACAGCAGTAACATCACGTAGTAAGGATATAGTTCAGTTAGGAGCCAGCGGTATTCTTTGCCAGATTAAAATGATAAAACGAAGGATAGCGACATGTGGGAAGCCTACCTGCGAGAGCGTTGATGTCTTACGTCCTCCAACTACTGTGCCCGGCGACCGACTGAAGCCCGCCAGGTTCCTCCCAGCTGTTAACACCTCACCACTAGACACCTCTTGTGTCAAGGATTTGTAACTGGCTGGCACCCAAGCTGAAGCAGAGATGGAAATATCCCTTGCTTGAGTCAGTCTACCACATGGATATTTCTGATTCACACACAACTGATTCTTGGCCGCTCTCGCCTTTCAAGTTCAGTTGTCACACCCACACTTCCTCCAGTGTTATTAGTTGCACATTAAGATGACTGTCTAAGATTTACAATAACAAATAACGTACCCAACTGTTAAATCATATGAGAACTGTGAACAGGTCACTGGGGAAAGTGTAGGAAGATAATTATTTCAAATTAACCAGTTATTTTATCTCCTGGGGACAGAGTAGGGTGGTCCATGCCGTCAACAGCACAATTAGAGAACGAAAAGAACAAATATGTTCATCCATGCCCAAAATATTCACAATGTAAACTTCTAGGGCTGTATAACACCGCAAAAATATATATATTTTGGTTGAGCATAAAATTATAGCGCCTCGATACATTACTAACCTTGCCAAGATGATGTTAACCTGGTAACACTCATGATTTAAGGGTGATTTTAGTTAATGTAATTGTTACGTTCTCGGGCACATCGCCATGACAGCTCCAACAGTCGCCGCCGCACTAACACCGCCAAATCATTCATGCAAGATGACATGAACAAAATTAATCTACTACCGTGTAAATAACTTAACATTAGATTAGGTTAGGATAAAAAAAAATGCAGGAAGCGTCCCGTGATAAAGCCACAAACCTCAACGGTTAAACCATACATTTAAGTCTGCTGCCATTTGTAATTCATTTTTTATTCACAGATTATAAAGTATATTACAGTATATGATTAAAAATCAAATCATTATTATTCCTACTATTATTATAATCATTATTACTACTTTATTATTATTATTACACATACAGTTGTCATATTTACCTTTAGTGAGAGGCTGATTACTTTCCATTCAGTAGGGAGTCAGAAATACCATCTTAACCTTTTTTCCACCATATAACCCTCAAAAATCGTGTTTTTAATTTGAATTTAGGTTGTAACTCAGGGAATGTAATAATTATTGTGTTGTTTATAAGCTCATACCCAAAACCCATATCTTAGAAATTAACCCTTCACTCCAAGGATTTTGTATTATAGGATGGCTGAAGGCTCACTCCAATGGGCCAACTCGTTCACTACAACTGTGGCGCCGCTAAGAATTGACAGTATTTGGAGACAAAGATTCTAGTACTGTCCATATGTACAGTATTAAAATCCTTGTTGGAGGTGATGGTTAATGGGAGGGAGGCTTGCATTTTGGTTAAATTCACTGTTCTTTGGTGTCCTGTGTGTATTCTCCTACTATCTGTACTGGGATATAAGTATTGTGAGGCTATTAATTGATTCAATAATACCAAATGGAACATGAAAAAGTCTCAGATTTCTAGTATATTGATAACGATCCACTCTTGGCGGTGAACATCGGAGTATCATTGGGATACATAAAATAAGCAGGATACAATTGTAACTTTGAAGTTGAGGCTGCTACAGCTGGAAAAGTTTTTTTAATATTAGGCTAAATCATGCAAAGCTTAAACACAGTACTAGGCCGTATAATAAACTTCTGTTTACGATTTTTAACATACTGTACAAAGTAAGATAAGTCTCATGAGCTAGTTCATATACCATTTCACCAGTTTATTTATTTAATATTGATACGGGTACTTTGAGAAATGTCCATCAGTCCTTGTGAAGTTGGAATGTGTTAAAGAGGTTTGATTTCTGTTGTGCTACTTGCAGCACTTTGTACCTGTACAGCTCTTAATTTCATACTGTACTTTACTTTTACTTTCTTTTATCCTTTTCACCACTGATGGCTCATTAGCCGCTTGGGCGATCGGTGATGTCTCTGCTACACACTGTGGGCAAATACTGGGCATGCACTGGCTCCTGAATGTATCTGAACCTGCTCTAGGGCTTGTCAAGTCTGGTCTTGAAAGAGCTCACACTCGGTGCCATCACAACACTATCTGGCAGATTGTTCCAAGACTTCACAACTTCCATTCCAGTTGCACCACAGTTTTCTGGGCTAGCGGCTTCTTCAACCTTGAGCTGTGACCCCTTGAGGCGAGCGTCCTCCAGCTCCAGGTAAGGGCACTGAACTGAGTAGTGCCCTTGAGATGCTTATACACTTCAATTAGGTCTCCCCTTGCCCATCTGTAGTAAAAGCTAGGCAAGTCAAACTATTTACTCACCTGACAGCTGTGAGAACCACCAACAAAGACTTAGGTGGTCTCACATCATTGCCATCAAAAGAATGTGCTCAGTCGTTTTACAGTACTGTATTCAAAATTCGGTAATTGTACCATTTCAAACATTGTACCATGTGTAAGCTAACATTAACCACATCTGTCATGAGTAACTTGTCACATCATTTATTGTTCCGATTGTGTCAAAACTGTAAATGCAAATTACAGGATACTGTACTGGAAAATTCACAAATCAAATCACATTTCTAGAGCTTCTCAACTACAGAAGCAAAGCATAAAATCTTTGATTGTTTAAATGTGCATAATTTTCCTATATAACAAGTGGTTTTCACTTCTTTCTTACTTCCTTGCTGCATTTATATTGTGGACTGAAAAATATAATTTAAGATACCTTAAAAAAATTCGGAAAGTAGCCCCAACCAAAATGAACTAGTGAAAAAAGGTTGTTAATTTGAGGAATGTTTTGCTACAGGCGACAATTTAAGTTGACCTGAAAGTGCCAATACAGTAAACTCATGGGTGACACAGCAATTACAAGTATACGCGCTACTTATAGGACAGTGCTACTTACAGGACAGAGCAGGCACGTCAAGCTTGCTGATTATTATTAATGCAATACAGTACAGTACTGTACAGGAGGTATTTATATTTTTCTCCATAAAGCTATACAGAGTACTGTACAGTACAGGTATTTATTTCTAGCCATGCTACTTCAATATGTGAATTACCAAATACAGTGGTCCCTCGGTTAACGAACACAGTTCGTTCCAGAAGGTCGTTCGTTAACCGAATCCATTGTTTCAATGGGATTTTGTGTAATTGGTTCCAGCTCACCGAAAATTACATACAAAGTAAAACAAAAATGCAGTGAAGTACACTTACTTTGAGGTGTGTATGTAGAAAGCTTCTGGTTGATGATGATGATGATAGGAATTAGAAGTGGGGGTGGAGGAGAAGGGAGAAGAGAAGGAAGTGGGGGTGGAAGAGAAATCACCCCATGCTTGATGCTGTCATTTCATCCATAAAATTTTAAGTTCTCACTTGGTGTAATTCAAGATTATTTTCTTTAAATCAACACTGCACTGCACTATATGTTGTCAATATGTTAAATAAATTTCAGAATGACCAATAATTGTACTGTAAAAACATAAAAATACTCTGTGTTCAAGAGACCCACAAGCAAGATGTTTCCTCCACTGAACAGATACAAACTGAGGCCTTGGTGGGTGAGTGAAGTGGCTGATGGGTGCACCAAAAACAAGTTCCCTGTAATGCAATTATGTTAAATAAGTGCTAAAATGACAAAAAAAATTAATATAAAATTTGGAAAATTATTGAATAGTACAACCTTTTTGATATTTACTCCAATTTTAACGAATGTAAGCCCTGGAACCGATTTCTGTATTGGCAGACTAATCTTCCAGCTGGTGCGCAAGCCAAAGCATGTCGAAACATTTTCGTAAGAATTTCGTTAACCGAATTTTTGTTCGTTAACCGAAATGAAGATTCTTATAGAAGGTAATTCGTTAACCGAAATTTCGTTAACCGAGGCGTTCGTTAACGGAGGGACCACTGTACTGTATACTGTATTGTAGTACTGTACTATTTGTTATGATATCATCCTTCCATTGGATTTACTTGTGAAAATTTTTTTTTGTGTTGAAATGCTATCTTTAGAATGTCTATAAAAGATAATTGTGGGAAATTTTTCCATAAGGATTAGAATATTTTTCAGGCCCATTTATCTTTGGTAATTGCATATAACAATCTGCTGACTAAAATTCAAAATCATCATACAAACAATAAGTACAGTAGACCCTTGCCATTCGCGAAGGATAGGTACCAAGAAATAGCGCAAATTGGCAAAACCGCGAACAGCAACTTATACTACCTTAGTGCAATACTGTATGCCTATACCAAACTGACCAGCCGCAGCAGCACTTATCCCCTCTTTTAACTTATCTAATAATAAAACTTTCTTTGTCAGGGTCATCACTGACTTCTGCCTTTTTACATTTCACTCTATTAGCGTCACTAGTACTGACGCTAGGCAGTCTTTTACGGGCCATTTCACACAGAAACACTAAAGTTTTGAGAGTTCAACACGAGATGCTAGCCACCAGTTACCATCTGCTTACCGTGAATTGTCAAAATCACAAATGGCAAGGTGTTTGCTGTAATTTAATGTTGATCACTTTTCATTAAGATATTAACAGTCAGAAATCCCATCTTAACCTTTATTTTTTGCCCAATTAACCACTTATAGACCCATTTTTTTATTACAGGATTGTGCAAAGGAGCATGGCACTGACTCCGTGATGGCTTGACCACACGCACAACTTTTCTGTAAAGGAACAGAAGATGGAGAAATAACCCATGTTTGGATGATATAATCCCCATCTCAAAGCAAACTAGATAATGATCTGAATTTGGTGAATCACACCTAAAACCCCTTGTTGACCTTCTCAATGGATCATGGATGTCTACAGCAGAACTGCCACTCAAAATATCGAAAAGAGGTAGTCCATAAGGGCAAGCTGAGCAGAGCAGAAAAGTGGTTCCATTCTGCAGATGCATCTCATCGCAAGAACAAGGTCGAGCCTGTGGAACATCTGTGATTGCACATAGTACGTATAGTAAAATCAGACAACATGGGAATGTTGCTTCTCATTATCCAGGATAACAGCAAATGATGTAGTAAGAGCAAGTCTCTTACATTTAAATGACTAGGGTGATGCAGCAGCCTAAGAACTATACTACCACCATAAATGTCCTGAGAGGACTTGTAGAGTGTGTTGTGATGGCATAAAGGATATTAGAAGCATAGCTGACATGAAGTTATTCAACTTAGGTACATAATTTCATACTTTATGTTTGCTGCAGGCTGGTGGTAGAGGTTATACTAGTTTACTACGTCAAGAATTTAGTCTACAAACAAATGTAGATATGATAAAAACAAGTAAGACAATATCAGTGGACACTTCTAGACCTGTAAGAACTATAGTACAATACAGTACGTATTCTATGTCGACCACAAGATCTAACCAAACTTAATATATCCCATAACTACACAATCCAACACAGGACAGTTTTTGTTAGGTTAGGCTACTTCTTAGGATTTGCTTTATAGGTGGTTTTTATTTGTTTTCCTCTTCTCTCACCTGATGCAATTTCTGTACATTAAAAGGAATATATCAATGATGGTCTTCTAAAAAAATTGCATTTTTTTTTTAAATAAATGTAAATTAAGACTGCAAAGGGCGTGCATATTTACCACAGTGGCATCTATAGTAAAATAAACTGGTGATATCATTAAATTTAACCTATTAGTTTGGCCAGTGTGTCTGTAGAATTAAAACTTGTCAAACTGTATTCCATAGTTTTAAAAAGTTATAAACTATATTTTGTCTTCTTTTGGGTCAAAAAAATTTTTGCTTTCAAAAGTATTACAGTATGTCTATATTCTTCTCACTACTCTTAGGAGGATCCAAAATTTCAGTTTGTGGAAGTGGGGACAATTATTTAAAATACCTAAGACCAGGGGTACAAAATCAACATACAGTGTACAGCATACTGTAAAGCAACACTTCCATTGGAAATACCAAATTTTGTCAATCAGGGGTAAGTGTGTCATCTCTGGCAATGTCTCCTCATTCTTTCTATATTACAGCACTGTACAGTATACAGTAGTAGGGAGCAACTGCACCATAACTAACAAAAATTATCACTTTTAAATGTAGAGTACCATACTATATGGTCATTCATTAGGAAAATCAATCAGGATGCCACTTAAACACTTTTCTTCCAAGCTTTCCCCTTTACTAATATTTTCATGCACATTCAAAAAGTACTGACAGAGTTATACAGTATATCACACTGGTGCAGTATACTAACCCTCTGCTAATACAGTACCTCCTTTAACTCTCAAGTGACCATTAGCCATTTCTTCCAAAAATTCAAAGCTAATCAGTTTGTCTGTCAAGTGCTCTTGCATGACAATCTATGTAATGTCATTAATGCTAAATAGGATACAGTTAGCTCACATTGATAGTTTGGTTTTACAAAATATACTTGAAATGAAGTACCTGTACAGAGTGGTATTGTGCAATAATCAATGTACAATACAGAAGATAGGTACAGTCAACAAAATTACTGTATCGTGTCTGGGGTCCGTTGGAACAGGGAATGAGGAAATACCTCAGCCACTCATTGTATGTGTGGGGTTGGAATACCTGTTTTTTCTAAATAGTTCACCCTGTGTTCCAGAATGAAAAGTATGGAAAGTTGCATGAAAATTTTTTGGATGACTGTACAGTACTATAATGTGATGAGACCCATAATACAACTAGAATGTGCAGAAACTTAGGACTTTTACACTCCCATTCCCACAAAGAATTCACAATTTTTCCTTTTCAGCAAACATCAGCCAGAGGAATGAAAGAAACAATGACCATAAAACCATTACAGTACTGTATTACTTGTTAGCGCCTAAAAGCAGGGAATACATTCGTCTTTAAGAGTATATAAAAAAGTATAAGGATTAGAAGGTGATATCGAGGGTAAGAATCTTGTTTACAGTTTTGTCATATCCCTTGACCTATACTTCATTCCTCGTGACTTCATCTCACGTACAACTGTTGGCGGTAGACGGCCAGTGATGGAGATGGCATACATTCCTCGGCAGCATCGGTCTAGAATGAAAAAAACATAACAATGAATAATTAATAATCTAAACAAAGCTCACTTTTCACAATGCACCTTAAACTAACCTCCACCTACAGGCATAATAACAAACATTGCCACCTCCCTTTTTTGTAGCATAGTACTGTACATCCAATATACAATGGAACAGTTTAGTCCAGGACACTGACACTACAGAACCAAGAGCACCATAGTAAACAACCATACTAATACTTTACCACTCTGGTATCAAACACAAGACTCACTGGTTATGAACATAAGTGTTACTCATTAGATAGGCAGAATTCATACTCGTACACTTGACCAATAGAGTATTTTAACCGACTGAAAATGGACAGTATTCATAAACCCCTAAATGATGCCATTATATCCTTACTCTGGCTGATAATTTCTCTTCAGTAAACACTCAACAGTCCTGGTCATTTGCCTGTCCAACAATTCAAACTCAACAGCAACTTTTTTAACAATGTTATTTCATAACTACTGATTATTATCTTTTACCATTGTTACTATAGGAAAGAGGCATTGTGTACTTACCGTTCTGTTGCCACTACTGTACAGCATATGAAAGAGACACTGTGTACTGTACTACTTAGTGACCTATTGCCACTATAGGAGACACCGTGTACTACTTAATGATCTGTTGCCACTATAGGAGACACTGTGTACTACTTACTGATCTGTTACCACTATAGGAGACAGTGTACTACTTACTGATCTGTTACCACTATAGGAGACACTGTACTACTTACTGATCTGTTGCCACTATAGGAGACACTGTACTACTTACTGATCTGTTACCACTATAGGAGACACTGTACTACTTACTGATCTGTTGCCACTATAGGAGACACTGTACTACTTACTGATCTGTTGCCACTATAGGAGACAGTGTACTACTTACTGATCTGTTACCACTATAGGAGACAGTGTACTACTTACTGATCTGTTACCACTATAGGAGATAGTGTACTACTTACTGATCTGTTACCACTATAGGAGACAGTGTACTACTTACTGATCTGTTACCACTATAGGAGACAGTGTACTACTTACTGATCTGTTGCCACTATAGGAGACAGTGTACTACTTACTGATCTGTTACCACTATAGGAGACACTGTACTACTTACTGATCTGTTACCACTATAGGAGACAGTGTACTACTTACTGATCTGTTGCCACTATAGGAGACACTGTACTACTTACTGATCTGTTACCACTATAGGAGACACTGTGTACTACTTACTGATCTGTTGCCACTATAGGAGACACTGTACTACTTACTGATCTGTTACCACTATAGGAGACACTGTACTACTTACTGATCTGTTGCCACTATAGGAGACACTGCACTACTTACTGATCTGTTACCACTATAGGAGACAGTGTACTACTTACTGATCTGTTGCCACTCATAGGAGACAGTGTACTACTTACTGATCTGTTGCCACTATAGACATTAATTGTACCTTTCTTACTGATCTGTTGCCACCATAGGGAGACAGTACTACTTACTGATCTGTTACCACTATAGGAGACAGTGTACTACTTACTGATCTGTTGCCACTATAGGAGACACCGTGTACTACTTAATGATCTGTTGCCACTATAGGAGACAGTGTACTACTTACTGATCTGTTACCACTATAGGAGACACTGTACTACTTACTGATCTGTTGCCACTATAGGAGACAGTGTACTACTTACTGATCTGTTGCCACTATAGGAGACACTGTACTACTTAATGATCTGTTGCCACTATAGGAGACAGTGTACTACTTACTGATCTGTTACCACTATAGGAGACACTGTGTACTACTTACTGATCTGTTGCCACTATAGGAGATAGTGTACTACTTACTGATCTGTTACCACTATAGGAGACAGTGTACTACTTACTGATCTGTTGCCACTATAGGAGACACTGTACTGTTACTATAGGACTGATTTACTGATCTGTTACCACTATAGGAGACAGTGTACTACTTACTGATCTGTTACCACTATAGAGACACTACTTACTGATCTGTTACCACTATAGGAGACACTGTACTACTTACTGATCTGTTACCACTATAGGAGACACTGTGTACTACTTACTGATCTGTTACCACTATAGGAGACACTGTACTACTTACTGATCTGTTACCACTATAGGAGACTGTGTACTACTTACTGATCTGTTACCACTATAGGAGACAGTGTACTACTTACTGATCTGTTACCACTATAGGAGACACTGTACTACTTACTGATCTGTTACCACTATAGGAGACAGTGTACTACTTACTGATCTGTTACCACTATAGGAGACACTGTACTACTTACTGATCTGTTACCACTATAGGAGACACTGTACTACTTACTGATCTGTTACCACTATAGGAGACACTGTACTACTTACTGATCTGTTACCACTATAGGAGACAGTGTACTACTTACTGATCTGTTACCACTATAGGAGACAGTGCACTACTTACTGATCTGTTACCACTATAGGAGACACTGCACTACTTACTGATCTGTTACCACTATAGGAGACACTGTACTACTTACTGATCTGTTACCACTATAGGAGACACACTGTGTAGTACTTACTGATCTGTTACCACTATAGGAGACAGTGCACTACTTACTGATCTGTTACCACTATAGGAGACACTGCACTACTTACTGATCTGTTACCACTATAGGAGACACTGTACTACTTACTGATCTGTTACCACTATAGGAGACACACTGTGTAGTACTTACTGATCTGTTACCACTATAGGAGACAGTGCACTACTTACTGATCTGTTACCACTATAGGAGACACTGCACTACTTACTGATCTGTTACCACTATAGGAGACACTGTACTACTTACTGATCTGTTACCACTATAGGAGACACACTGTGTAGTACTTACTGATCCGTTGCCACTTTGCTACCCAACTATCCTCTGGACTCATCAAGGCAATGAAGCTAAAAATCAATAAATAAAAAAAATCAATAAATGAAGATTATTGTTATGTACAGTACAGAAATGCCAAGTGTAATTATACAGTTTTATTGTTACATAATTATATACAGTACACTGGTCCCTCGGTTAACGAGCGCCTCGGTTAACGAGATTTCGGTTAACGATTTACCTTCCATAAGATTCTTAACTTCGGTTAACGAGCAATCCCTCGATTAACGAGTTTTTTACAAGCCGACTTCAACATGTTTTCGCTTACATTTGGCGGTCCACCAGCTGCATATTAGTCCGCCAATACAGTAATCAGTTTTAGGGCTTAAATTCCTTACTATTTTAGTAAATATCACGAAGTTTATACTATTCAATAATTTTAAAAGTTTAATATTAACTTTTTTAGTCATTTTAACAATTATTGAACATAAATGAAGGTGAAGAAACTAGTTTCTGGCGTGCCATCCAGCCTGTTAACACACCAGACAAGCGTTAGTCTCTCTCTGTTTTCAGTGGAGGTAACATCTTGCTTGAGACTCTCTTCAACTAAACGCTTGTTTTCTGTGTTTCCAAGCAAATTATTGGTCATTTTGAAATATATTTTACATATTGACAATATATAATGCAATGCAGTGTTGATTTAAAGAAAATAATCTTGAAATACACCAAGAGAACTAAAATTTTATGGGTGAAATGGTGCCATGGGGTGACTTCTCTTCCACCCCAATGCCTTCTCTTCTTCCTTCTCCTCCACCCCCATTCTAATTCCCATCATCATCATCATCATCATCATCCAGGAGCCTTCTACATACACACCTCAAAGTAAGTATACTTTTCTACCTTTTATGTTGAATTTAGGCAATTTTCGGTGAGCTGGAACCAATTACCCAAAAACCCATTGAAACAATGGTTTCGGTTAACGAGTTTTTCGGTTAACGAGCAACCTGCTGGAACGGATTGTGCTCGTTAACCGAGGGACCACTGTACTCACTAAATAATTATTACCCTTTAACTCAAGCAAGAGAAATATTATCCCCCATCCAATTCACTCACATAAATACTTTACCTGTATATGAAGTGAATAAACAAAAAGAATTCAGAACTATATGGTACTATAATTTGATCACCCACTTTTTCAGAGTTCATGGGGACTAACTCCTGAGTGGTGTACTGTACTCAATCAGATCTCAGTCTGGAGATGCAATGGGTTTAACATTAAGGAATATACAGAATAATTTCACACTTTATCAGAGGAGATCCACTTATAATATTTACTGACATATACATAATGACAATATCTCCCACTCATTGAGTTAAGTCCCGACGTTAGTGATTGCGCTGTGTACTGACAAATTTTTTTGTTTGTAATTCACTTTAAAATGGCTGGCAAGCTTAAAAGTGAGAGTTTTGTGGTGCTGAGAAGAAAAAGAGACACCCATTTTAGATTTTCTAGGTATTATTTAAGCATTTTTGACTTACGACCTGGATTTGGGTCCCTAACTCCGTCGTAAGTCGAGGACTAGCTGTATACAGTACTGTATAAGTTTTATATTAATAAAATATGAAAGCTCAGTTTAACATAAAACACGTCTCTACAAATTACACAAAAGTAAAAATATTAATAATACTGTGTAAAGGGTAACTGATTCCTAATAAAAATGATAAAGTACCTCAGAAATTAAAAACTTTTAATATTTTCTCTCAAAGGAAGAAAAGAAGGGCAAAAATATCCTGCAAGATACAATAGTGAAAACTGTGGACTGCAGTACAGTCGACCCTCGTTAATTCGGACCCCTTTAATCCGGATTTCGGATAATTCGGACGAAATCTGAACTAAGCGAGGGACTGTCCATATCAAATTTCTGGTTCTGGGATTGTCAGATAGATGGCGCGCACCAGACCGCCAGTCATTGTTGACTTAGCGCCATTTTCGAGTATCAGTGTTGTGTTGCCCTGCAATTTTCGTTGATATTTCAGTGATTAGGCATCTTTCAGCCTTGTATTTTACATCATGTCTTCAAGGGGAAGTACCTCTAATACGCCGAAGAGGAAGTATGTGACCCTTTCTGTGAACCAGAAACTGGAACTCATCAGGAAGTTAGAGGCTGGTGCTTCGGTGGCTAGAGTTTGTGACGAGTATGGTGTTAAAAAGCAAACAGTTTCGGACATACGCAAGGCTAAGGACAAACTCACTGCATTTTCTTTTAAATATAATGCATTATTATGCAATATTAACCCCTAAATCGGTTAATTCAGACAATCGGCTAAAACGAACACCCTTCCGCCCTATTAGTCCGAATTAACGAGGGTCGACTGTATAATAGTGTACTGTACTACCCTTCTTTATGTCTCACAGGAAAGATTTTTCCAACTATGACCAAGTCATCCACCACTAATAAACAACTCAATGCTCAAGATGTGTGTGGTTTCCCTGTTGTCCCTCTTCAGAGCTTATCCCACTTTCTTCACAAACCTTAAGTTTTGAAGAATCATTCTAATATCTATCATCCAGACACCAATCTCTAAAAATGGCAACAACAGTGCAGTACAGTAAAATGCATTACATGTAAAATGAAATACTGTAAAGCATAATTTACGAGAACCATATCACTGGATCCTACAAACTAGAACAACGCTTTGTATGCCTAATACAGTACGTATTGTACTGTAGTATAAAAACAGATTGCAGCATTACCCTGTACATGGTAGCTGTAAGAGAAGGAATAATATAAAGGGAAGGAAAGGAGGAGCAGAAGAAAGAAGAAAATAGTGTAACAAGAAAAAGTGCACGTTGCAAAACCACAAAAAAGAAACAGTACCTGTGTCCAGTACAGTTATTTAAAAAAAAAAAAAAGTTTAGTTAACAGTAACTGTACAATGATGTAATGTCATGTGAATAGTTTTTCTCTAGAGGCAATACAAAACATTACTTCTATAGTACACTATATACAGTACAGCATTTCTACACCAAATAAACAATAACTTTAATTGACATCTTTCCTGTGGAGGTCAAAATTTGTCACAGAAAGGTTCCTCATCCTGTTCACTTACATCAACGAATTTTTATTTTTCTAACCATAAAGAAATTAAATGTAAAAAATTTCCTTATGTTCTTCTAGAATTCTTTTCAAAAACAAATCATCTTACAAATGCTCATGAAATTATAAAACACTGTACTATACTGTATTACCACTTACTGATGAACAATACCTGTACAGTGCTCACTGTTCTCCCTCTGAATACTGTACTGTACTTACCCATCAAAGTTGTTAGAAGTGCAGTCATATACTTGGTCGCGGTTATTTTTCATTCGTAGAAATTCATCACAGTTCTCACACCCATCTGTCTCAAACATGTCCAGTGTCTGAGAAAAGAGATTAACTCATCAGATACAATGTACATTATGATTATATTACTGTATTAAACATGTAATACTTTCTTAAACCAGTACCCTGTACATTAAAAGCATGCAACTGTGAATGCACTATAGTACATTTAAAATCAGGAGCCATGTAAAAACAAACTAATTATAGTACAGTACTGTACCATATATCTTTCACTTTACAGGTACAGTACTGATAAGAGAGCTTCAGCAGCTGACGGGATGATTTTTTTTTTTATTGGGCACTCCCCTACATCCTTGTGTAAGGTGAAGCGCAGAAGCGTTTACAGCGCCCAACAGGGAAGCATGCTAAGTTCATGCTTACCTTGATGTCTCATGAGTTAAGGGCGTAGAAGCCTGAAGAGTCAGTGGTTTTATGTCATCAAGTTATTGGAAGCTCCAACAACTCCCTGAATACGAATTCGCAACTTTCGACTTACACCAGGTACCTACTTTACTACTAGGTGAACAGGGACTAATGGGGGCTAGGAAGTAAGTCCAAACAACTTCCACCGGCCCGGGAATCGAACCCGTGACATCTCGCTTGCGAGGCAAGAACGGTACCGCATCTACCACCGGTCCCCACGGGATGAAATGTCAATACTGTATTACTGGTTCTAATAAAACTCTTACTTTATTATCATACAGTAATATGAAGAGAGGAAAGAGAATCTGCTTTGCTACTTCTCAGGAACACCTTAATATACTGCATGACACTTCCTAACAGCATCATACTATATTAACAACACAAAATGATTCATCACTCATGAAATCCTTTTTTATAAGCAGGGCTGCTTGTGATGAATTCACAAATACAATACAGTTCTTTGTTACTCTGCTTAAAGGTAGATACTGTACAGGTATTTTCTTGAATTACTTATGATACTGGTACCTGTAATTTGAATTTTGGTTACTTTTCCTTTTAAGTACAATTTATAAAAATTTATTCTTACATGATTTTCATTTCCAATGTCACATTTCTTAATTATTTGCTGAAAAAAATGGTGATGTAATCAGGCTGTCGAGTAACTATAATCAGAAAATACAGTACAGTATATGTCTTGGCAAATGCTCAATAAACACACCATTTTATATACAGCCACATGCAACTCTCCCACATAATTAGTATTGTTTTTACTAGGAAAAATCACATGTGGTACAGCTGACTTATTTAATCTCACATCAGCGAACAGTGCCATCACTTCCAGGGTCATAGTCACATGAGGTCAAAGCAGTGTTTGAAGTCACTAAATGTCATCACCTGACTTAAAATATCTGAATTTTTTGGGGGTTATGATTCATTTTAGTTACACCATAAAACTTCATACAGTACAGGTATTTCTATTTATATAGGAAGAAAGAAAAAAAAAGGTATTACAGGTAGACAACCCTTTATCCGAAATTCCGAAAACCAAAAAGCTCTGAAAACCTAAAGTTTTTTTTTGTGGGGCAATTTTTTTTTTTTTTAAACAGGGATTACACCACCCGGGCATAGGTCACTGACCCACATCAGGGCCTGGGGGGCGAAAATATAATAGTAATAATAATTATAATAATAATAATTATTCATAGTAAATAAAAATTGTAATAAAAATACACCAAACTAAAATAATATGATAACATTAATAATAATAATAACAATAATAATAATACTGTAATATATAATAATAAAATTAATAAAAATAACAATAATACAGGAGTACTGTAATAATAAAATAATAATAAAGAAATACAAGAATGAAAAAAAGATCAAAAGTGAGAAACACGACCTAGACCTATGAATTATTATTATTATTATTATTTTTGTTACATTTTCGCCTTCCCCAGGCCCTGATGTGGGTCAGTGATCTATGCCCGGGTGGGCTAATACACACAAAAAAAAAAATTAACCATTCTGAAAACCGAAAAATTCCGAAATCCGAAATTCCTCTGGCCCCAAGGATTTCGGATAAGGGATTGTCAACCTGTATTATCGTTTCGGTCATCCAGTGAATTTTAGGATTTTTACTTTAGGTTAGGTTAGTTTAGGTTGAAATTGCTTTTTCTGATGGTTTCTGACGTGTTTTGAACAATTTCCAAGTAGGTAGATGACCGAAATGATAATTTTACCCCAAAAAATACTTTCTTCTGTTACATTTCCATTGAAAATTTATATTCTATGAGTATTTTAGCCGCTAAGACTTCTCCAATTACCAACAATGTTGGTTGTTCAAAGTGGGCAGAGATTTGAAGTAGAGGAAAATGGATGAGTTGTCGGTTCTGAGTAAACACAAGAAATACACTCTGCCTCGTTCGTAGAGTGATACGGTATATATAATTTGTGTTAAGAGTTTCCCGCTATAACAGTCTAGATAAGTTTATTTCTCTAGAAACAGGGTTGCCATTTGCAATGACATCGCCAGTTTCCCAGCAGACAACGTTCTCCAACAAACTCACCACTGCAGTCACAGGTAGTACAAAGGATGGCCTCTTCAGACCCCAAATGCCACGTTCCGGTAAGTTTTAATGGTGTTTTTTATGGTCTAAGACTCTAAGTCATGGACTTTCTGTAAGTGAAGAAATGTGCCTTGAAGAGCAGCTTATGGACATAAAAACTCCCATATTCACACCAGCTCAGCTGTCATGCATTCTTACCTGGCAGACTTTCTTTTTTTCCAGTACATTTACAGAGAATATCAGTACTAGATGGAGATACGAGTCAATTTTGAAGTACTGTAATGACATTGTCTGGACTTTGTTTTGAGAATGCATTGGGATATATCATCATTTATATTAATTAATGGGTAACATTTTACTTTAATACCATAAGTATACAGCTCCTTCCCAACTTACGACGGAGTTAGGGACCCAAATCCAGGTCGTAAGTCGAAATGGTCGTAAGTCGAAAATGCGAAAATAATACATAGAAAATCTAAAATGGGTGTCTCTTTTTCTTCTCAGCACCACGAGAACTCTCACTTTTACACTTGCCAGCCATTTTAAAGGGAATTACAAACAAACAAAAATTCAGTACACAGCGCGATCACTAACGTCGGAACTCGAAAATACGTAATTTGAAAAATATTTTGTACGACTGCGGCGGTCGCATGTCCGGGTGGTCGTAAGTCGAGGAGTACCTGTACATGAATATTAATTGTTTAATAGAGAAAATGCTTCAACATCGGTAAATAAACAAAATACAGAACATTAATGAAGGTGATGGCACCAGCGCATGAACTACCGAGTAGTGAAATGATTCCAGGCGTATTAACAATGTTTCTATTTTCGTCTTTAATAAATTGTCTTAGTGTTTGTTATTATTTTATATCCCAAGCAACATTTATTTTCACGTGTACATTACTATTATCCTCTTCACCACTGATCGGCTCGTTAGCCGCTTGGGCAATCGGTTACGTCTATTACACACTGTTGCCAATTACTGGGCGTGTACTGGCTCTGTTATGCACTGTGGCAAGTACTGGGCATACACTGGCTCCTGAATGTACCTGAACCTGCTCCAGTGCTTATCCAGTCTGAGCATAAGCTAAAATCGTGCACAAGAAAAGCAAATCAAGACAAACAAGTCCATCTCTGGAAGCTGTGGGATGAATATGAAGAACAAAATATCACCACTTCTAATTTCCTAAAAAAAAAGTCAGTGCCTTTTTCTAAGAATGCATGAGTATTAACAATGTTTTAAATTGATTTATATTTTAATCTTTCTCATATTGTTTAAGTGAGATGATTGTAGGTGTATTAACAATGTTTTTATTTTAAACTTTCGTCTTTAATATAGTCTTGGTTTTTATTATCATTTCCTATCCCAAGCAACAGTTATTTTCGTGTTATAATGATGGGAATGAACGGGGTGACGAAAGAGGCAAGGCAATGGTTACGAAACGGATTAAAAAGAGTGATGATGATGTGGGCAGACCCCGTTGGGTATGTTAGGTCAGGTTCTATGCATTGTCGCTTCCATTTTTGTGTTTAATATAATAGCCTTACCTTTACCAGTGAACACACAAGACAGGAACGAAGACCTCGCAGATCTTTAGGTACAGTTTCCATTACAAACAATAATATTTACTGATACAGTGACAGAGTACACTTCAACTCCCCAGCTGAGAGGGAGTTAATGTCTGTTTACCAGGTCCTGCGCCTGCGCCAACATGAACAGACACTTACAGACGTTCTTGAGGGATCACATAATATTCCTAAGCCACATGGCATTTAGTTGGCCGCGGGATATATACTGTATATGCAAGTAAATCACTGTGGGTGCGCGTGATCCAGGTATATGCTGATAACCACAAGGAAAAAGAAAACACGAAGTTCACAAGAGCTTTAGTGTAATTCACATCTTCAGGGGTATTACCTATGTGCTATGCTTAGGAAGGTTTCTTCTTCTTTCCTGTCTTTCTTATTATAGTCTTTGGTAAAAAATAATATCTTTCTTTCGCTACAATACGAAAGCGCAAGATTTTTTTATCTATGTGAACTTGGATTTTTTTTATATATCGGTGATTTTTGTGTTTCTTGAAGAGGATAAATGTAAAAAAGTAAAAACTTTGCAGTAAAATAGCGACACAATTCTGCTAATTGTGTCGTGTAAAGAGCATAAAATTAAGTCATCTTCTGTCATCAATTGTACTTTAATTAAATTCAATAGTGAAAAATTCTCATATCACTGTGAGCTCTTAATGCCATTCCTCCTTGGCTGGATATATTAGTTTGTAGCGTACTGTATGTGGCCAGTTGTCAATTCTCTTAAGTTGTCTATAAGGCTAGGACACAGACACATCTGGTAGGTTAGTAAGGCTGTACCCATACTGGAACACTCAGCATGTAAACTTTGTGATAAACCTTTAAAGCATACACTTGAACACTATATTATTGAATGTGACACTGTCAAGGACTTCAGGTCACCTGGCTTATTGTATCATGAACTTTGTAATTACTACATTGAATCAGGGGTGCTTGAGGACATTCTTGCTGTTTATCCCAAATTTGCTAGCCCACACTGATTAGTCTTCAATTAGAATATGACGTCCAATGCATGTGAACCACTGACCTATATATACTGCTAATGGATATGATGTATTTCCTTGTGTACGAACCTCTGTCCTGCATGGCAGTGAACAGTGACATTACCCACATGAATCTGACCTATATATATATATATATATAGCTGTTAATGAATATGTTGTATTTCTTTGTTTATGAATCTGTCCTGCGTGGCAGTGAGAAGTGATACTACCCTCAGTGTCAAGACCTGACTCAATTACTCAGAACAGGCAAACTGTACTACAAGCTTTGTCAATAAATTTGTTCAACTAAAAAAAAAACTGTGAGCTCTTTCAAGACTAGACCAACCCAGTATTTGCGAACAGTACGTAACAGAGACGTGACCGACGGCAAAAGCGGATAGGGAGACAATTAGATTATTATTGTAGTGTCAGCACGTTGTAGCCCTTAACAATGTTCCCGTAAACCACCAACAAAACTACTATACCCCTACAAATTGTTCCAGGTCTCTACTGTTGTCTTACCGTTTTCTGCAGACCATTTCTTCTTTGCTTAATGTTTCTGTGATATGTACCAAACAGCGGGAGTGGAGGAAAGGTATATAGGATATGAAGCATAACGTAACTGAATTAAAATCTTAGATATTCAGCACATTATTAATTATACCTATCTATCCATAAATGCTTATTATATTATCAAACATCCTGCTGTATAAGTTTATATATGCGAAAATACAATAGTAAGTTATTCTATTTATTATAAGATAGTTTTATTGATTATGTTGACATGTTGGAGCAGAACCAGATGCCTGAGGTGAGTCCCGCGGCGCGCCAGTTCCAACAAGAGTTCGCGGGAAAACACGGACCTGTGTGTTGTAATACAGTAAGTAAGTTCCTCTATAGTATTTATCTATTGTTGGTTTAATTAGCTTTTGTACCTACTTTCAATATGGATGGTAAACTGACTGCTTAAATCCAGAAAGATAAAGTACAGGCTCAGTAATAACGTTTGATTCAATTGGTATGCTGGAGTGATTTCTTATTGTCCTTATTAACTTGCTGGTACATATTGTTTGAGAGTAGATATACTAGGTAATAATTTTATACTTCTGGGCAATGTTTCAGTCTAGGGAAATACTGAAACGTTAATATGTGGCTTCAGTATTTAGTATTTTCCCAACCTTATTCTTAAAGAATTACTAAACTATTCTTTTTGCAGAAGTTGTCATCAGATAAAATCGAATTTGAACTTATTTGAAATCAAGGTAAATATGCAATTGTAGTAAGCTATGTCCAGTATCAGGTCAATTGTTGTATGGCAAAGCTTATTAACCCATGGTTAATTTAGGTATAGTTCCTGGGTTTTGTGGCTAGGTTAGGTTAGGCTGGAAAAGTTAGGTTAGGATGACCTTAACTAAACTCTTAGCTAACTGGCAACTATATGAATCTTTTTCTGTCAAGCTAACCAATGAATATACAGTATAGAAAACAACTGCTCGTTGACCCAGCAATGAGAACAAAGTTTTTTGGAGTTTATCTTTAGATGCAGGAAATAAGTACAGCAGCCTCTGTGCATGACTGGTGGGCAGACTGTACCATGATAGTTATTAAGATGGCCTTCTTTCTGACAAATGTAACCTACCGTTAACTAATAACAACACGCTCCGTCAATATGGGTGCCATACCTATATCTAGTGTGACTTTTGGCATACAGCTGCCGTACCTGTATCCACTATGGTACGCTATTTTTATGCTCTGTGCAGTGGTGATATCTGTTTCTTACGCAATGATTTGTTATTTGTTTTGGCTCTTTTCTCAGTATTAATACCTCAGAGTGGGCTGGGTTTTAAAGAAGAGGGAAAATGTGGATTGAAAACATGAAAATATACTGACAGTATAGTATTTTATTTATTGGCAAGGGTTATTTGACCAGTACCTGGCCAAATATTCATTGGCTATTTGACTATGGTTTATGGAGCTCTATTATTGTATATGCATTATTTTACCATGTTAATAATTATTATTTTGCTATACTGTATTTGTATGATTTTACCATATAAAATATGTGTAAATTTACTAATTGATGTTACCAATATGACTACTGTATAATAACTGACCTAACCTAACCTAACCTCATGAAAAAGTTTGATATCAAGTAACGATGAATCCCCAAAAAACATGGAATGAGAATGGTACCCCACATTCTACTGAGTACAGAAAACCTACTCAGTATAATTTGTATACAGTATTACATTACAGTACCTTATATATACAGTGTGTCCATGAGAGAAGTGGGACATATCAGAGTATCAGAAGACAATTAAAGAAAAGAGTGATAAAGTATTCAACATTTAAATTATAGTGTAATGCCCACAGTCATCCTGACCAAAATCCCATTAAAATCATACACAATCCCTGTGGGTACCAGTCACATAGCTGATGGTTATTTGGCGGGGAATCTTGGTCAAATAACCACATTATTTAGTTTTAGCAATTATTAAGGTTAGAGTTTGTCACAGATCTCACCAGCTACCTAACCCACCTCACCAAGTCTGACCTAACTTAAAAAGTCAAACCAACCTAACCTAACAAACGAGGAGAAAGGAGCCATAACCCCCAAAATAAAGCAAGTGCACAAGAAACAGTTGTCACCAGTGCACAAAGCATAAAAAAATAGCACTTGTAGAAGAACAATGTCTTGTTGCTGAGTTTGAGGAGCCGGTGTTATCTATATTTTAGCTTTAACTTCTAACTTCAAGAATAATCCATAACAGGTAGTGGAATTGTAATTTTGTTTTTCCCTCACTCAGTCCACTTGAAGGTATCATGTGTGGCACTTAAAGTGTTGGCAAAACCATCCCAGTGATCTTTCCATACCTTACCTAACAAAACTTACTTAACTTAACCTATTCTACCAAACCTAAAATAGTGTACAGTCCTTTTATCCTTGGATAAGTAGATTTGGTTTGTTCATTTTGTGATAAATCATGATAAGGTAACAGTTGCTGGAAGTGTTAGTATATATGAAATGGACACTGGGAAGTATTCGTTGCATTCGTGTCTATGAAATGTTCTACATTCATGCAAACTGTCAATATGGCATCACTGAGTGGATATTTATTTATGACAGTAACTTGGGATAAACAAAATTAAGAAATTTTCAATTCCTTCACCTGTTTTGGGATACTTACTGTATGTGGTAAGGATGAAATTATCATCCCCCAGAAAAGTTTTCTATACTGTAGTTCCTTGTTAACACAGGGCCTATGTTCCAGAATATTTTTGTACCAGACTAACCTGTAGTGTTTTATTTTAGGTTGGTAAATACTGTACTTTATGAACGAGAATGTTTATGATGTAGTAGTACTTGGCATTACTGTGAGGTTAAACCAAAGTGACTTCGGACGAAGCTCAGATGTTGCGGCCAAAGATTTGTTGGGGAGGGAAAAAGTCATTAATATTATGTATATTGTCCTAAAGTTGGAAGTTGGAGTGCAAGAGCAGTAGCTAAAGAATTACTTTATTTATAATTAAACTGGATTAGTCAAGTTTACCAAATTCTCACAGATCTTTCAAGTCAATGACTGGCTTCAGAATGGGGCAGTTGTTACTAATTTGAATTTGCTCACTGGACACTCGCCTGCTGTTCTAGGGGGTCGGTGGTTCGAATTTCACGGGTACTCCCAGTTCACACAGCTGTAAATCACTTAACCACGCCATGCTTTCCACTCACGACCCATTGGTCACACTGAGCAATGTTGCACTGTACCGGCATTTACTAACATCATTGTTTAAAACTAATCATATTATAGTATAATAATGGAAAAACACATTAAGGTCCTCACTATTCTTGATCTCTTGGTCACTTTAGAGTCTTTGCTAGTAATATTTGCCTTTGATGAGGCTGGCTTACGTCCTGGAGCCACGTGGAATGCACGTAAGAGGCCATCACAGTAGCGTTCACGGTACAGTCAGTTCTGCTATAATGCGATAGTTGTGTTCTTGTAAAACCTCGCGTTCTACAAATTCGCGCAATAGAAATAACAGGGCTTATGGAGAAAATAGGGTTAGGTGCAGATTACTCGAAATCGAAAAAAATTTAATTGTTAGCCTAACACAAAGGATAGCACAACCTAAATATATGTTACATTCATATCTAATAATAAAATCATATAGTAAATGTTACACTTTACTTTGAAAAAATATGAATATACTTGTAACTTGGTCCCAGTTCCCCTTTCTTTTGATCTTCTATCCAAACACTTAGAAGCCATTCCATCTCCTCAACTTCCTTTGGCCGTGATCTCCACTTTTGCTAGCACTCAAGGTTTTTCCAGCAATACAGCTTGCTTTAATCTTTGCTGCATTGTCTCTAATGGTGCATAAAGTAGACTCCTTTATTCCCGTTGCACGCACAATATCACATGTTCTTTCTTTATTTTCAAAACGCTTGACAACATCAAGTTTTTCTTCAAGTGTTATAGCCTTTCTTTTACGATCACCACCGGAAATGCGATCACCAGAACGCTTCCCGGAGATATTCTTCTTTTCCATAGTCACAAAATTGTAGAAACAGTAATAAAAAATCACTGATGGCGCCTAAAAACTTCCCACGTGTTTCAGACTGATCGTGTGGTGTAAACAGAGCGCGCGGGTCTAAAATGCTACATACTGTATTTTGTTTTCTCTCTTATTTAAAATTTTACAATTTACATATACTGTACAGGTATACTGTATACATGAATATGACAAATTATTTCTGCAATTGTTCACAAACAAAACACACAAATCAATTGAACATGTGATGTCGAATGTGACCTGTAAACACTGCATAACCCCGCGCCAAGTGACAACATTGTACAGTACACTTTAAACGCTATGTATTTAGTTTTTCTCTCTTATTTAAAATTTTACAATTTACATACAGTATATATGTAAATTGTAATTTACATATTATTCATATTATGCTAGAGCGCCCACAAAACATGAGAAACGTTTGAGTCCCCCAGTAGAGATGTCCGTTCTCTATCCACTTCAGGATGTCTTAGTCCTCCGTTTTCTTTTTGTGTACTCGCTCAGGGACTCAAGTATTTCTGTATATAACACAGGCTGATAAGGGAATTTGAATTTATTTGTTTATTTATTTATACATATAATATACTGTAATATATTAAATATACTGCAAGTATTTTCTTTAATTTATATACGTGTTTCGCGACAAAGGGAGGCTACATTTATGGTGATCGTTAAGGACCAAACTCCGAATCCATGACGTGACTTCTGTTCATTATTTATATCCTAAATTTACCACTGTAGGTAGTTTCAAGAATTAATGCAGTCATTTACTGAATATTCTTTGCAAAAAAATAAATTTTAAATGAATTATTTTTAGGAGATAAATATATTGATCAGTAAATATACAGATATGCATTACTGACCACCTCCGAACACAAGGACGGCTAAAAATAGCCACAGGCGGTCACAGTCAAGGTCACTTTCCCTTTCTTGTCACTGGCAAATGGGGGTGGGGGGGTGGATGATAATAGCAGCTGTGTTTATTACAGTATGTTAGACAGGTTTATAATACATTTTTATTATTTTAATATACCGGTAATCTTCATTTTAATCCAGCTTCCCAAACGTAAGTTTCAGTATAAAATAATTAGTGGTACTGTAGGACCTTGTGAGTGGTTCACTGTATACATAAATATTACATAAATTATTTCTGCAATTCTTCACAAACAAAACACATAAATCAATTGAATATGTGATGTCGAACGTAAACTGTAAACACTGTGTATGATGTAAAGAGAGCGCGGGTGTAAAACGCTATGTAATTTGATTTTCTCTTTTATGTAAAATTGTACAATTTACTTATAATATATAGGTATACTGTATACATAAATATTACATACATTATTTCTGCAATTGTTCACAAACAAAACACATAACTCAATTGAACATGTGATGTCGAACGTGAACTGAAGTCACAACAACCGTTCGAGTGGAATCGCGTTAGAGCAAACGAGTTCGCGTTATACAAATATTGTTCCGAATTCATAAATCGCGTTCGATCAAATTCGCGTTATCAAAACACGCGTTATAGCAGAACTCACTGTATAAGGACATGCCGCTCGTACTGGCAGACTAGACACTCACTTACTTGACAAGTTTCACTAACAATAAGGACAGTTGAAGCTTTCAACATCACGCACAAGGGATCTTGAATGTTCCATCTGTAATCAGACATCTACCGTAAGTTGCCTTAACAGATACAACTACAGTTGCAATTTAAAATTTTGTGTCGTTATACTAAGGAATACGGAGTCTCGGGTGCACTCTAAGATTGAGGGAAAACGGAGGACTCAGACGTCCTGAAGCGATGAGAAAACAGACGCCTCAGACGGGGGATTCAATAAAGAAGGCATAGCTACATGTTTTGTGGGCTATTGGGCTTAATATGAATCATCTGGTTTTACGTTAACTGACATGCAAGACCGTGATCATTACAACAGCCTGTTTGCCATTTCCTATTCTTCTTTCCCTCTGCAATAGTGAAAAATAAATGTTTTTATTGTCCAGTTATTGGTTTTTCAATAATATAGACCAATTTGTTCTTGGCATAGCTAGTCATTTCATTGTTTTCTAGTACAATATTCAATACTTTTTTCCTCAGAATAGCAAGATGGCGCCCTTAAACAAATTGAAGGAAGATCCAGCACGCCATTCAGACACCAACGGCTTGAGTATATCGTTAGAAGCAGGTGAGAACATTGTTATAAAAACTACTAATTCTAATGTGTTGCAGCATATTTCTTGTACATTAGTTTGTTTATTGTAAATTTATATAAACTTTTAACCAAAAGGAAATGTAAGCAAGAGTAGCAATCTTTCATTTGTTTGAGAGAAGTCTAAGTGGAATGTTTGGTCTACGGTATATCAGCAAGATTGGTGAATAAGGAAGGACTTCCAAAATATTGATTTCAAAAATTACATGGCAGTACTCAGGAGGTACAGCGTATTTATAAAAATTGGTTGTGGGTCAAGGGGCTAAGGTCGTGCATTTCATCATATACCATTAACAAGTTTAGGCAGGTCAAAAGTGAGTTTGTAGTAGCTTTTCAGTAAAGAAAAAAAAGGAGATGCTATATGTTTTATCCACTTGTCTTTACCAAGTTGAAGCTTGCCTTACACTCCAATTTGTTTACAACAGTGCTGTACTAGATAAACATCTATACACTTTGTATTAGAAAAACTCCACTCTAAAATAACTTGTACTTTTCTGTATAATTTTCAGATAACACCGCAAAACTTGGGGAAGGCAGCAATAACTCAGACCAGCTTGAGGTATCAGACTTAAAAGAAAATGGAAGTGGAGCCTCTGAGTGGGGAGATGCAGGTCAGAAGCCATTTATGAAGATATTTGTTGTGTCAATAATTTATAACTTCAATTTTACTGAGTGACTAATGTTATGCAACCAAAACAGTCTTGCTGGGTTAAAACCAGGCTTGCGCTGCCGGCCAACCCACATTATCGTACACCGATGTTAAAATTATGGTTTTTTCCTTGAAATATGGTACGTACCTGCATATAAGAATTATTGTACATGTTATGGTGCAGTAAACACCCCTACTTTATTACAAGCACGTTTATATTAATGTAAATCTAATAAAAAAATTACAAATGGAAACATAGAGAGGCTGAAAAAAAAAGGGAATGCTTTTTAAAATTCTTTATTTGCCACTGCTGCTGTGTCCACGCATCGTCCAATCTGTGTCCATAAATAAATAAGGTAACGTAAGTTAAACTCAAACAGAGACAGAGAGAGAGTGGTACTGGTGAATTCATCACCAACTTGCTGCTTATATTCACCGTCATGACACCTCCGTGACCTCGCCTCATCCCAAACCCCCAAGTTAGTCCCTGGCTCCTACCTCCCTGGGTCCCTGAGTCCCTGCCCTTGTCATGACTTAACCGCATTCCTACATATTTGATCTATAATTTTCATCCATTCCAAAGCACATGCTCCAATAACTGATTTTTCATTTACCCCGTACTTCTCACTAACCCCTTCCACAAATTTCTGAGCTGATGTCTCCCTGGCCTCTGATGTATCTAATCTATACCATCTATGAATTTTTTTATGCATAATAACCTTCTCTTTGCTAGTTTGATCTGCCCAATCACATTCAATGTGCCTATCAGATAGGTAGGTGATCCTTGGTAACCTCAGGGAGTAGTGATCCTCCCTGGAGCTATTACAAGTGTTAAGAGTAGCATCACAGGGAGGTTTGTAGGGCCAGAGATACTCAAGAGAAAGTGGGGGAGAGGCCAAGTGTGTGTGATAAGGGCAGGGGGACACCATGAACTCTCTCACACATAGTTCTGTGTATTTCATCTTGAACCATCAAGACTGGTAACAGTAACCTGACCACCCTGCAGTCCCGTCACAGTGGCATGGGAAACCCGGGGACATTTCCAGTTGGATACCATTATTAATAAAATGTTATACAATATTTAAAACATGGATACTGAGAACCACAGATAGTGACAAGAGATTATTGTTCAGTATACATGTACTGTCTTGTTTTTATGTACAGTAAGTACAGTGGTCCCTCGGTTAATGAGCACAATCCGTTCTAGAATGTTGCTCGTTAACCGAAAAATTCGTTAACCGAAACCATTGTTTCAATGGGTTTTTGGGTAATTGGTTCCAGCTCACCGAAAATTGCCTAAATTCAACAAAAAAGGTAGAAAAGTACACTTACTCTGAGGTGTGTATGTAGAAGGCTCCTGGATGATGATGATGGGAATTAGAATGGGGGTGGAGGAGAAGGGAGAAGAGAAGTCACCCCATGGCGCCATTTCACCCATAGAATTTTAGTTTTCTTGGTGTAATTCAAGATTATTTTCTTTAAATCAACACTGCATTGCATTATATATTGTCAATTTGTAAAATACATTTCAAAATGACCAATAATTTGCTTGCAAACACAGAAAAAAGCATTTAGTTGAAGAGAGTCTCAAGCAAGATGTTACCTCCACTGAAAAGACAGAGAGACTGGCGCCTGTTTGTTGTGTTGACAGGCTGGATGGCGCACATTAAACTAGTTTCCTTACCTTCAATTATGTTCAATAATTGTTAAAATGACTAAAAAATTTAATATTAAACTTTTAAAATTATTGAATAGTACAAACTTCTTGACATTTACTAAAATGGTAAGGAATATAAGCCCTAGAACCGATTACTGTATTGGCGGACTAATACTACAGCTGATGGACTGCCAAATGCAAGCGAAAACACGTTGAGGTCGGCTCGTAAGAAACTCGTTAATCGAGGGATTGCTCGTTAACCGAAGTTAAGAATCTTATAGAAGGTAACTCATTAACCGAAATCTCGTTAATCGAGGGACCACTGTAATATGATAGATATTATTGATAATTTGATCATGAATGGAAGATGGGTAAGTGTGTGTTTGTGTAATAATACACCCATTCCTCTCTTAACGTTGTTTTACGACCCGACCGATTCGATATAACGTTGTCACCCAACACGGACTACTTTGTATGGTGTGCCACCCTCTCTCATCTTGGCGCTTTACGCTCTCTCACAGAGAAACAATATATGTATGTTGTGTTGTCAAAGTGAGAGAAACAATTGAGACCCTGCAATTGTGTGTAAATGAGGCAGAAAGTCAGATCACCAACCTGGGACTTGGTCACAATTTTCGTGATGCCATATGGCAGCAGGGTCTACCATTAGACAACACATTATGCTTCCAATGTCTTCCCAGGCAGTAGTACCTCCCTGTTTGGTAGCTGCCTACTACGTGTGTGTGTGTGTGTGTGTGTGTGTGTGTGTGTGTGTGTGTGTGTGTGTGTGTGTGTGTGTGTGTGTGTGTGTGTGTGTGTGTGTGTGTGTGTGTGTGTGTGTGTGTGTGTGTGTGTGTGTGTGTGTGTGTGTGTGTGTGTGTGTGTGTGTGTGTGTGTGTGTGTGTGTGTGTGTGTGTGTGTGTGTGTGTGTGTGTGTGTGTGTGTGTGTGTGTGTGTGTGTGTGTGTGTGTGTGTGTGTGTGTGTGTGTGTGTGTGTGTGTGTGTGTGTGTGTGTGTGTGTGTGTGTGTGTGTGTGTGTGTGTGTGTGTGTGTGTGTGTGTGTGTGTGTGTGTGTGTGTGTGTGTGTGTGTGTGTGTGTGTGTGTGTGTGTGTGTGTGTGTGTGTGTGTGTGTGTGTGTGTGTGTGTGTGTGTGTGTGTGTGTGTGTGTGTGTGTGTGTGTGTGTGTGTGTGTGTGTGTGTGTGTGTGTGTGTGTGTGTGTGTGTGTGTGTGTGTGTGTGTGTGTGTGTGTGTGTGTGTGTGTGTGTGTGTGTGTGTGTGTGTGTGTGTGTGTGTGTGTGTGTGTGTGTGTGTGTGTGTGTGTGTGTGTGTGTGTGTGTGTGTGTGTGTGTGTGTGTGTGTGTGTGTGTGTGTGTGTGTGTGTGTGTGTGTGTGTGTGTGTGTGTGTGTGTGTGTGTGTGTGTGTGTGTGTGTGTGTGTGTGTGTGTGTGTGTGTGTGTGTGTGTGTGTGTGTGTGTGTGTGTGTGTGTGTGTGTGTGTGTGTGTGTGTGTGTGTGTGTGTGTGTGTGTGTGTGTGTGTGTGTGTGTGTGTGTGTGTGTGTGTGTGTGTGTGTGTGTGTGTGTGTGTGTGTGTGTGTGTGTGTGTGTGTGTGTGTGTGTGTGTGTGTGTTAACACATTATTTATTTAATTTTTTTTTAAACAATATTTTTAATAATTTTATGCTTATTTGCCAGTGGATAAATCCCCATCTGTTGACGAGGGTGTATTAACAGCTGAGATGCAGGCTGAGGAAGAGAAGCTGGAGATGGCTAACAAGAAAGAAGAGGAGGAGATACGCTTAAGGATAGAAGAAAGACAACGCCAAGAAAATGAATTGCAAGAACAAAGGTAAACAAAAAAATTATCTGAAGGGTTTGCGTACGAAGGCAGATTTTATCCTATTATCTGCTTCTCTGTTATTCCCATGTACAGTATGCATATACCTGCCATGCTGAGTGGTGTGGATTCATTGCTCCTTGTACACAAAGCAGTAACTCAAAATCTCCTTTGAAATGTAGGGGCATAGAAACAATAAGTATCTAGTGTGAACTATTACTTAATTGGCAATCCATGCCTAAGCTTGAGATCACCGTTAAAGTAGGAATACTGTATTACTCTACACTGTAAATATTATCTCGGGTGTGGGATACACGTACAGTACCAAATGCGCTTTGGGAGGTAACATAAGCAATATGGCAGCACTGATATTAGAGATAATGATGGTTTTCTGGGTGATAGTGACACTGGTTAGCTTGACTACTCAATTACATTGACAGCCTTGGAATGGGGATTTGTTCGCTCACATTTTCACCACGGAGACAAAGGTGGTAAGCATTTGACAGAGTACCGCATCAGAGGCTTCTGAGAAAAACTAAGGCTCATGGTATTGAGGGGAAAGTTTTAAATTGGATAAAATCATGGCTCACCGATAGAACGCAGAGGGTCAGCGTAGATGGTGTTAAATCTGAGTGGGGTCGTGTAACCAGTGGGGTTCCCCAGGGGTCAGTACTAGGCCCACTCTTGTTCATAATCTACATAAACTATCTAGATACTGGGATCAGCAGTGACATAAGCAAGTTTGCGGATGACACCAAAATAGGGCGGCAAATTAATTCAGGGCAGGATGCAAATGCATTACAGGAGGATCTAAATAAACTGCAGGGGTGGTCTGAAAAATGGCAAATGAAATTCAACACCAGCAAGTGCAGTGTACTTAATATTGGAAGAACAAATACTGTCAATGTATACAGCCTTAACAACATCAACCTAGAGAAGTTGACTTGTGAAAGAGACCTAGGGGTACTTGTAAGCCCGGACCTACGGCCTAGAAAACAGTGCGTTAATGTTCGAAATAAGGCAAACAGAGTATTGGGTTTTATATCTAGAAGTGTAAGTAATAAGAGTGCAGAGGTCTTATTGCAACTATATCTTCGCTAGTCAGGGCACCTCGATTATGCGGTTCAGTTCTGGTGCCCTTATTATAGAATGGATATCAATTCACTAGAATCGGTTGCAGCGAAGAATGACGAAAATGATTCCGGGACTTAGAAACCTTCCATATCAGGATAGGTTAAAGAAACTAAACTTGCATTCCCTAGAAAGACGAAGAGTGCGGGGAGATATGATAGAAGTATTCAAGTGGGTGAAAGGAATCAATAAAGGTGATATAGATAAAGTTCTTATAATATCCGAGCAGGATAGGACTCGGAACAACGGATTCAAGTTGGATAAGTTTAGGTTTAGGAGGGAGATAGGAAGGACCTGGTTTACAAATAGGGTGGTGGACGAGTGGAACAAGCTGAGCAACTTTGTAGTAAGTGCTGGAATGCTGGAAAGTTTCAAAGGGAGGCTGGATAGATTCATGGATGATAGAGAGTGGTAGTAACTCTCGACAGGAGCTGCCATGCACAGGCCAACCGGCCTATTGCAGACTCCTTATTTTCTTTCGTTCTTATGTAAGTGCATGCCTTGGTGTTAGGTGAGTGGCTATTATATACAAGAATACTCTGTGTGTGTAATAATAAAATAATAATAATAATTAACGGTTTATTGAAAAAGTTCTGCAGCTCGAAGGCTGAAAATATACATTGGACATAAATGACTTATTACATACATTGGTGGTTTAACAAAAGCCTTCTTTAGAGAAAGGTAAAGGAACATACAGTGAACATACAGATTAATGTTTACAGTGGAGGTCACGTAGATCACAGATGGCGTTATGAGGGGCATCACGTGGTGTAGTAGTTCCCTCACAGGTGGTGTTATGAGGGGCATCACATGGTGTAGTAGTTCCCTCACAGGTGGTGTTATGAGGGACCTGATGTGGGTGTGGGTGGGTGGGTGTGTGTGGGTCGGTGTGTGTGGGTGGGTGTAATAATAATAATAATTAACGGTTTATTGAAAGAGCTTGGCAGCCAGAAGGCTGAAAATATACAGTTACATATTTGGGGAATGGGTTTCGAATTACAAATAATATACAAGTAACATAAGTGACACAAATAAGACATATAATAACTAGATGGGGAAAAGCTCAAACTACAGTTCATTTCAACATAGTGACAGTGCAAGGAGCAGTGTTTACTGGGAGTGAATACACTGTGTGGGTGGGTGCACTATCTCTTCTCCCTCATGGGTTAAGCGATGCAGCTCAACTAGTTCTGTATAGTACAGTATGACAAGACTGCTAAGTACTGTAAATAAATATACAAGATCATGTACTGTAGAAAAACTACTACTTCACTGAGTGTCTGCCTCCTTATATCCCATTGCTATTTTTTAGTACTGTACCAGGGTGTCTACTGGTCTGGAAAAGGTCGGGAATTTTAATTGGGGCTGGAAAACCTGGAAAAGCCAGGGAATTTTAAAATATACCTGGAATTTTTTATGTGAATTCAGTTCAACTTCTAAATATTGTTATTTTTATAGCAATCTTACCATAAATTAATGCTGTACTGTATAATAGGTAAATATTTAAATTTTTAGGAACAAATTCCAATAAATCGCCCACTCCAAAAACTGAATTTTGTGTACCTATCATATTTCATGTTAGCGATCAAGTAACCAAATATTACAGGTTATACCTACTAATTCTGCAGTGACTGTTGTCAGAGATGAATTGTTCTTATAATTAAGTGGCTTATTCCACATATTAATCATGAGTCATACACTGTAGGTGGATCAGGAGTGTGATTTTTCGGTTTTTGCCAGAATTTCTGGCTTTTTTGGAACGTTAAGGTTGACCCACAAATTGCACAAATCCAATGTTCATCACTAGGCTTGGGATGGGTCACAAAAGGGCCTTCAATTTCTTGATTAATATAATTTATATCATCTTTAAATTTCCCACTTGTATATACAGTACATAGTATTGAAAACCTCTAATTTTGGTATTTTGTCATAATAAATACCATATTAATGTTACCTGGAATTTTTCAAATTTACACCTGGAAAACCTGGAAAGCCAGGGAATTTTGATTTGTCTGGCCACTAGACACCCTGTGTACTGTACAGGTACTGTACTGTAATTCTGTGAAATTTGAGATGTGTTTATAATGTAATTTATGAGTGAATATATCATAATTAGTGTAACGAGTGCAGCAACATTAATGAAAACAGAAAGTTTTATGCATGAAGAAAAGATATTGTATATATCTCTTAGAAAAGGAATTAGTCTACTGAGTATATTGTACCAGAAAGGACTATATACTGCAGTTAGGATGTGATACAGAGGATGATGTAAAGAACAGTGTAGGAAAGGTGAGGAACACAGGACATAGATCAAGAGTTAGAGAAAAATGTCTGCTGAAAAAAAAAATTCTAAAAGACAGAATAGTGTACGAGGTCATTGTGGGTCTGGAGAACGGTAGGTGGTTTTCCATTCGCAGTTTGCTAAAACTAGCTATTAGACGTGGGACTTCTTAAGAATTGATTGACGTTTTTATTTTTTACAGATACAAGCGGCTAATGCATCTGCTTAATAAGTCTGAGTTCTACAGTCAGTTTCTCTTGAAGCAAATTGAATCTCAGGAATCTATGAAGAAAAAAAAGGGCAAGTCCAGGTTAGTTTAATGATATCATTGTCAAATATTTCTTTGCACAGTAAAACTAAGATACAAATTTATACATGCTATAGATATACCTGTATAGTACTGTACAGTTACCCCCAGCATTATGGAAAGGATATGTTGTAGAAAATTTGACCTCAGTGTGATATTCTCTTGAACATGAACCCAGATGCATCCCCAGAAAGTCACCCCAAGGTGTGATCATACTTAAGATTGTAATAAGCATTTTAAAATTAATTTAATTGAAATTTGATAATTATTTGATTTTTTTTAATAATACACAAAAGAGTGAATTCACCTTGCCAGATGATGATGATCAGTATGTTAGGTGGTGCAGTAGTGTGCATCAGGTGGTCGAGTGGATTTGGCTAAGTGGTTCACCTGCCTCAAACACCAAAGCAACATTTTTCATCTTAATGTCCAAGTACAGGTTCTTTTAGCATTGCTGCTACCACTTTCACTTATTGGCCTCTTTCTGGACTTGGTGAATGGTGGTAAAATGTGTAAACTGAGAGAACTTGCTGTATACTCAAACAGTATAATGCACTGGTAATTGATGCATCAAGTGTGTACTAAGACAAGTCATAAGAAAACCTTAATCGCTTCTTGTGTTATCTTGTATTTGCTAATGGTTTAATTTTTGTTCTGTACAGTATCAAGGATTTAGTAGTTATACAAGTTGCCCTTGATCTACAGAAGGATTGCATTCTTGAAAAACTGTTCTTAAATTGAAAATCCATAAATTGAAGCAGGTTATCCCAAGGATTACAATTTTAAATTTGTAAATAAGTTCCTAAAAAATCAACTGAAGGAAATGACTCCAAAATTGTTTACAACCAATTTTTTTAATAATTGTACAGTACAGTACTTGCAATACACTGTACTGTACTCTCCTTAAGAGTTTAATCAGAATTAAAATGTGTTCTACATATAAGAAAATGGTAGTTGGTATTCAAGGTGTGGTGGTGGTTACTGTGAAGGTGATGGTGGAGCAGGATGGTGGTGATGGTGGAGCAGGATGGTGGTGATGGTGGAGCAGGATGGTGGTGATGGTGGAGCAGGATGGTGGTGATGGAGCAGGATGGTGGTGATGGTGGAGCAGGAGGGTGGTGATGGTGGAGCAGGAGGATGATGATGATGGGCAGTGTGGACAATCTTTATTCCCCAAATATTATCTTTATACAGTAGTGGTCCCTCGATTAACGAACCCCATTGGTTCCACAGAGTCTGTTGTTAACCCAAAATTTCGTTAACTGAATCTTTTATTTCAATGGGATATTGGGTAATTGGTTTCAACTCAGAAAAAGTACATACAAAGTACTGTATACCAGTAATAGAATTAACAAAACATTAAATATAAACTAAATACTGTACATTTTACTGTAAAATAATAAATAAAAAACAATAGAATACTGTACTGTATTTTAACTTACTTTGAGGTGTGTATGTCGTTTTCCCGGCAGCCGTTGACGACATGCCATATTCTTTACAAAGTGCATTGGTTCTAATGCCTTCTTCATGTTTCATAATAATTTCTGCAGTGTATATTATCAATATGTGAACTAAATTTCAGAATGACCAATAATTTTAATGTAAAAATGCAAAAATATTCAAGAGACCAACAAACTGGATGTTCACTCCACTGTAAACAACTGAGAAGCGTTGGTGGTTGATTCGATCAGCTGATTGGCACACAAAAACTGTTCCCTGTACTGTATATATTATCAATATGTTAACTAAATTAGACTGACCAATAATTTTAATATAAAAAATGCAAAAATATTCAAGAGCACAACTTTCTTGATATTTATTCCACTGGAAACGAATGTAAACATAGAACCAATTACTGTATTGGTGGACTAGCCAATCAGCTGATGCGCACAACCAGGCGTGTTTCTCGTAAGGCTGTCGTTAATCAAAGTTTTGTTCGTTAGTGGAACTGAAAATCCTTATGGGAACTAAGTCGTTAACTGAAATTTCGTTAATTGAACCGTTCGTTAATCGAGGGACCACTGTACAGTACATGTAATCAATAAGGAAAGTAGGGTTAGGTTCTGGAGGCCAATAAAAGTGACTAAATTTGACTTAATGAGTTTATTTTCATACTGAATAAAACACTAATGCAGTAGAGTCGGCTGCTGACTTGTCACTCACTCAGAAAGACTGTGCGGGCGAGCGTGAGTGAGCAGCCACGGTGGCGCCTCTGGTGAGCAAATAAGGCATTTGTTTGCCATGGCGTTAAATTTGAAATTATCCTGCCCGATTTCCCTCACAAAATAAATAAATTTCTCGCTATATATTGGAAAATGACGATAATTTTGGTAGTTGCGATATAAAAAAATCTTAGGAAAAATCGCTATATATCCCGACCCTACTGTACAGTATGTTCTTTATATAGTTTCTAAACGTACTTCGTAAGCTCCTCAAGAATGAGGCTACACACATCAAAGGTTTAGACATCAGTGTTAATTGTCCTTGCTCAGTACAGGATGCTCTCAGATACCTTTGTTAGTCTTCTGACATTATGGAAAAAGACAGAAACTAGAAACTTCAGTAACTTTAGGGTTTTCGTTTCGTAAATTCATTCATTGGCAAGAAAAAAAAAAGAGACTTAGAAATTGTGTAAATTTGGTGCTATTAGATCATGGTTGACATGTACGCAGTGATATCTCCGTTGGCCGGAACAATTAGTGCAGAGCACTTCCGGGAATGAGAGATTTCGGGTAACGAGATGACTCTCAAAGCCGGAAAAAATGCTTCATCCTGGAATTTTCTGGGTAACGGAAAAATTTCCCCGGAAGTTCCAGAAATTGCCAATTACATCATTTCTCAAACCTGGAAACATATCCCTCATCCCCGAAATTTTCCGGGTATTGGGAAATTGTTCTCGGAATTTATGGAAAATGTGCCTCATTTTCATCTCTCAAACCCGGAAAAACTCCCCCATCCCCGGAATTTTCTGGGTATTGGGAAAATTTTCTCAGAAATTTCCGGAAAATGTGCCCCTCGTAAAATTTTTCCCAAAGTCGTAATTTTCTGGAAAATACCGGCATTGGGAACGATTTTCTGATCAAATTTCAATTCTCGCTATCTGAGAGTTTTGGGTTTGAAGGATTCTGGGTAACGGAGATACTGTATTACTTTACAAATTCTGCAATCCTGATGTCCATAATGCTGGGGATGACCATATTAGGTTGTACTATAATATATAGATGATATTTCATAAAACACCCATTGAGGCTTATATACTGTATGTTGTACTACAGGTATTTTGGTTTTGGTTTTCAGATCAAAACATGGCAGAGAAGATACTGATAAGGAAAATTCACAGTCTGAAGGTATGGCAAGAACTATAATTTAAAGAATATTGGATGCATCACATAATATCACTCTTGACTTATCTTCTAACTTATAAATGTACACTCGGTAAAACAGTATATTTCAGGAGGGATCTGATGAATTTGGAACTGAACAATTGTGTTGTCTCACTAGGGTTGGTAGGTGTGATTGTGAGACAATTCCTTCTTATTATGGTAGGCCTAATTTTTTATTTCATTTAAAATATATAATTAGTTCGTTTCTATGGTGGTGTCATTTTTTATTGCACAAGAATTGTAAATATAGTTTAACCGAGTGTATAAGGTATTCTTTGCCACATTCTTCACTCAGGCCATTGTTATGCCTTTCTCCTTTCAGGCTGCTTAAAATATTATTGGACCTATGATGAAGAGTAAGGCTTGGGTTTGTTGGTTCTTGTTTTTCACTGAATGGTTCTACAGTGTAATGATTTTATTTGTTTTATTTTTATTTTTTTTGGTAAAGATAGGAGTGTGCCTTGATCCCAGATATTCTTGTATACACTCACTATCACCAATACCTTGTTTAGACAGGCCGACAAGTTCAAGAGTTCGTGGCAACACCCACGATCCAAACACTGGCATCTCATTGACCACATCATTGTCAGAGAAAGAGATCACTGAGATGTCCTCATCACCTGTGGGATGCATGGCTCAAACCACTGTGACATTGATCATCGGCTCATCAGAGCCACGCTCTCACTTCACGTCGCTCTAAAATGGCGAAGGCAGCAAGTCTCCAAAAGAGGTTTTAACACTAAGTGTCTGGAGGAGCCAACAGTAGCCCATGCTTTCAGAGAGCAGCTCGAACATGGGCTGATAAACAACCCAACAGCAAACAACCCAAATCCCAGTGCCGAATGGGATATTCTCGACACTGTCATGACAAAAACCTGCAGACAGACCCTCGGCCAGATCTAAAGAATACACCAGGACTGGTTTGATGAAAATGACCTGGCAATCAATGTACTCGTCGATGATAAACATGCTGTTTTAACTGACTGGCAGAACAATCCCCAGTCTCGGACCAAAGCCGATAGCTTCCGCAAGAAGAAAGCGGCAACCCAGTGGGAACTTCGCAATCTAAAGGACGACTTATTTAAAAATAAAGCATGTGAAACACAAAAATTTGTAGATCAGCACAAGTTGCACGAATTTTTCAAATTCCACAAACATTTTATGGGCCAATCATTCGTGGCTCAGCCCCCCTCCGGTCATCCAACGTTAACTTCATAATTAAAGATAATGAAGGCCTCCTTCAGCGCTGGATAGAGCACAACCATTCGCTGTTCAACCGAAACACCGATGAGGATGTTCTAACTACCCAGCAGGTCCTGCAGCATCCAGAGCTGACCCACCTCAGCTATCCTCCATCCCTGGATGAGGTAGCTACTGCCCTCAAACAGATGAAAAAGAACAATGCCTCAGGGCCTGATGGAATCCCAGCTGAGGTGTATAAAGCAGGAGGACCTCTGCTTACCAGCCGTCTCCACTCTCTCCTGGAGAATATATGGGAAAAGGAGGAAATCCCCCAAGCTCTTGAAGATGCCTCCATTGTCAATATTTATAAGAGCAAGGGAGACAGGTCAGACTGTGACAACTACCACGGGAAATCGCTGCTGTCCGTAGCTGGCAAGATTATCGCCCGAGTCCACCTAAATAGACTTCTTCCTGAGGCGGAAAACTTCCTCCCAGAATCTCAGTGTGGCTTTAGACCATCATGTGACACCACTGACATGGTCTTTGCTGCCCGTCAGATACAGAAAAAATGCAGAGAACAGCGTCGTGACCTGTACATGGCTTTCGTCGACCTAACCAAGGCCTTCGACTCGGTCAACAGGGAAGCCCTCTGGTGGACCCTCAAGCCGTTATGCCATTGTGAGGCAACTCGACGATGGCATGAACGGCAGTGTCCTGCACAATGGCACCCAGTCTGAGCTCTTCCCCATCCAAACGGGGGTTAAACAAGGTGTGTTCTGGCACCAACTCTCTTTTCCATCATCTTGGCTGCGTTCCTTACTCATGCCAGTGCCAATTTAGTTTGCGGGGTGGACATAGAGTACCGGGTGAAGGGTCTTTTCAACATAAGACGACTCCAGGCAGGAACAAAGGTGTCAACATCATCCATTAATGAGCTATGCAGATGACCTCACCCTTGTCGCTCACACTGACTGCGACCTACAGGAGATCCTCAAATCCTACTCAGATGCGTATGCATATTTCGGCCTTGAAGTGAATCTACGTAAGACTCGGATTCTCTTTCAGCCTGCCCCTGGTTCAGCCACACCTCCACCATCCATCCATCTAAACGGTATTACCCTCTGTAATGTTACCCACTTTTGGCATCTCGGCTCCCACCTGTCCACCACAGCGGACATTGATGAAGAGATTCGGTATCGGATCAGATGTGCATCTCAAGCCTTTGGCAGACTCCGAAACCCTGTCTTCAGAAACCCTGTCTTCAGCTGTAGGGAGCTGAAATTATCTACAAAGTTACACGTCTATCGATTAGTGGTCCTTCCTACCCTGTTATACAGGAGGCACGTCAAGACACTTGAAAACTTTCACCAACGTAGTCTACGTTCCATCCTCTGAGTTCACTGGGAAGACAAGAGAACAAATGCCAGTATTCTTGCTGACACCAACTGTAGGAGCATTGAGGCTACCATTGTCCATGTTCTACTATGCTGGACTGGCCATGTTACCTGCATGAACGACAGTAGACTGCCAAAGCAGCTACTTTACAGTCACCTAATGAATAGTAAACGTAACGCTGGTGGGCAACTGTAAAGGTATACGGATAGTCTTAAGACAAACCTGAAAAAGTGCCAAATCGACCCCCTTACCTGGGAGACAATTAAGCCACACCGTAACTGGTACATATGCCTTAACTTAGTATTTATTTTGTTCAATACAGTACTTCTGTAAAAAAATAAGTTCTGCCAATCCATTTATTTTTTTCCCCTTAATCTTTCCAGAATCAACTACTGCATTCACTGATATTTTCGAGTAAGTGTGATTAACAAGTTGTTTGTTTCAGATGCAGGAACCAGCTCTCAGGAATCTGTTGAAGGAGATGGAAAGAAGCGTAAGCTGACAAGTAATTGTGGTGGTCGTCCTGTAAAGCGTGTCAGAGATGGCAAATATAACATGGCTGATGTCATTTCCACTGATGTAAGTCAGCTACAATAATTGAAGAGCAAATTGGTAGCCTTTCCTTCTTGCCGACTTTATTCTTTACAGTTTAACTAAAGGGTTAGGGTGTGTTTGGCAAGGTCAGCATTATCAGTGAAGTCGAGTTGATATTATCTGATGTGGTAATGTTTTATCTCCCCCCAAATATTATAGGCAAGTTAAAGAGTTTCTTAATATTATTCACAGATTGAACAGTTGTTTAAGATTGTAGAGAAGTTAAAAGGTTGTGCTACATTATATTAAAGTTAAAAGTTGCTTAAGATTATAAAGTTAAAAAGTTTGAAGTGGTTATTTGACTGGGATTCCCAGCCGAATAACCATCGGCTATTTGACCGGGACTCACAGGGATTGTGTATGATCTTAATGGGATTTTGGTCAGGATGGCTCATTTTCTGGAAACTCCAAGACAATTTTTCAGGTACCTGGAAAATTTCAAGGAAGGGTGGGATTTTTTCTGGGTTTGAGAGATGAAATAATGAGGCATTTTGGAAAATTATGAAAAAATTCCAGGGATGGGGAATTTTTTTCCGGGTTTGAGCATGGGGAATTTTTTTTCTGGGTTTGCGAGAGTTGTCTTGTTACCTGGAAATCTCACTTTTCCTGAAGTGTTCTGCACCAATTTTTCCAGCTAACAGAGATATCTGTAGATAACTACACTTGCTGGAATTTATTTGTTTTTCCTTTTGGAGGGGGTTACATTTTTACTTGTGTACGAAGCCCTTTATGTGTTTGCCCTTATGACAATTATTTCTTTTACTTGTATTGTATATATATATATATATATGTGTGTGTGTGTGTGTGTCACAAAACACATACAAATGAATAATAATGTTTTGTTATTAATAAATCACGGAGTAGACATTTTTAATACTGCATTTGATTATTTGTGAGAGGATTTTTTCCCATTATTATTTATTTATAGGTGTTTTGTGTGTGTCTACACACACACACACACACACACACACACACACACATATATATTACAAGAAAGGAAATTACTGTCTCTAGAACGAATGGCTCCCTGTCCTGGCCGTGAAAATGCCGGCAACTTTGAAACTACCCATAGACATTCTTGGGTACGCCCAGGGAGTCATCTGAGAATAACCGAGAACCGTAAAATGAAAATCCGCAAATTATCCGGATGTACTGTACTGTATTTGTAGTATCAATTATAGATCTTGATTTGACTCCGGTAAGTTGTTGTATGAGTTGTCAGTGCAGACGGTCTGTACCGTTTGACAAAAGCCAGCAACAACGCCGATGATTCATGAATAAAGTCAACTTATGAAATGATTGACAATAGAAAAGCTAGTGTGATGCCTCAATACTACATTCATACAACACCCAAAATCTTTTTTGTTAGTCTCAGTTGTAGTAAATAAGGGGATAGTGAACTTTTGTGGCTGTTGAATGATATGATGAAGTTATTAGTAGTATTGAGAGGACACTATACATTAATTAGCTTGCTTTAATTATTTATTTTTTTCCAGACCGTAAAAAACAGTATGGAGTCTGCTTCATACGAGACAGAAGCAAGTACTATTGAACGTGAGGAACAACCTCGTCTCTTTGAAAATGGTGTCATGAGGCCCTATCAGCTGGATGGCTTTTCATGGCTGACAGTAAGCGATGCAGGTTTTTTGTTCTAATTTTTAACACATAAGAGCTTATATTTACTTACTACAGACTGCAGAGTAATTGGTTTGTTCATTTGTCCACCTGTGTGTCTTTGTCCTTCATCTAAGTTATAAGATATTTAAGACTGGATTGTTATAAGATACCATCAGTGTTGAAGGCTTGAGGAGGAGAGGAAACATGAGAGATGAACCAATGATATACAGTAAGTGTATTAGGAGGGTCTTGAGGGGTCGTGCTAGATGATGTCCAATTAATGACAGTAGACTATCTACTCTACAGTGGAATTTGATTTGAGTGTGTGTGTATGACAACTCAAAACTAATATAAAGTACTGTGAATCAACATGGCTGCTAAAATTCACTGTGTATGATGCTTTAGTAAGTTTAGGATATGAAAAAGTGTGGACGAATTGGTTTTCTATTGAATTGAGGTTTTTGTACCCCTTGATCCATCTTCCTCATGCAATCTGTTATATTATCAAGACCAACTCCATCAGTGTGGAATGACTGATTGGACAAAACATTTAATAGATTTCAGGGTCTTCCCTTCCCTTCTCCCTTGTGCAATCTTGTTTTTTTATTATTGTAAACTGGTTGGTGTTTGTACTGCCTTGCCCCATAAATGCAATTTCTTCTTATTATAGTCCCAGGAACATGTCCAATTTAATTTTGGTAGACATAAGCTTTAGGATTAATAAATTTACTAATCACAGACTAACAGAAATACACACTGATTAACAGAATTTGTTACACATTATAATACAGTTTTATAGTCTGTCTTATTTTATTAAACTTATTTGATAGTCAATTAATGGGATGTTCCTTTCACAGGTTTTGTTTGAAAATGGTGTTAATGGGATTTTAGGAGATGAGATGGGTTTGGGTAAGACCATCCAAACCATTGCCCTCATCTGTCATTTGGTAGGGGAAGGGGTGCCAGGCCCCTTCCTTGTGTGTGGTCCTCTCTCTACGCTGACCAATTGGATGGCTGAATTTCAGAGGTTTGCCCCAAAGGTAAGTAACAAACTTTGATGTATTAAAAAAACAACTCTGCTTTGAAAATTAAAAGACTCGGAATGTGAAAGAAGATGTGAGCCTGAAAGTTGAGAAGATAATAAGTAGCATAACATTACCTGACAGTTTCTCCAGTAGATTTCAAGTGAAAAATCTAGTTGGTAATGTGATTAGAGAGGAGGAGGTACAGTAATTCTAAAAAAATTTGGGTGTTTCAATAATGGGTGGGGAATGGAAATTATGAAGAGTATACATTGACTGAAATCAATAATGATTCTAACATACATGAGAAAAGGAAGGGAAATATAATGCCAGAATTAGAGACAATTAACCTATGGATCATTGGACAGGTAACTGGATCCTTTGTTGGTGGGAAACAGACTGGATGTATAGAGTAAAGAAGTTGTAAGTTTGTCCATATTTCTGATAATTCTGTCAGGTATAACAGATTGAAATTTTAATTCTAGATACCTATAGTGCTCTACCATGGTCAGGACACAGTACGTACAGAGAAGAGAAGAAAGCTTAAAGTTCTGAAGACTATAGAGGGAACTAATATATCAGTCTACCCTGTTGTCATCACATCTTATGAGGTAAAGTTTGGGTTATATCTTTAAAGTGGAGATTTTTAATTTATTTCCTGCAGACTTCTTGTTATTTCTAATGTTCCAGGATCTTTTAGGACTGCCTCTAACATCAACTGTTTTATCCTAGAATTCACCAATGTGTTTATGTAAATAAGAAATAACTTCACATAATTTTGTGTAGTGTAACATACAAGGTCCAACACACAAAAAAAATGAGACTGATGCTGTAACTCTTTTTATTTACCAAATTAAGAAAATCATCTGTGATCACCTTCAAAGTAGTTCCCTTCTGAGTTGACACACAGCTGCATGTGATGCTGTCGCAGATCATGTTCTGTAAGGCTGTTGAGGAGCTCCGTCGTTATTGTTTTCACTTCTTCTACCGACAAAAAATTGGTTCTTTTGAGCACGGACTTCATCTTTGGGAAGAGGTAGAAGTCGTAGGGAGCCAGGTCTGGCGAATAGGGCGGGTGCTCAAGCACAGTGATGTTTTTATTGGCTAAAATCTGCTTTACAGACAAAGCATTATGGGCTGGCACTTTGTTCATATGACAGCATTTTTTGAACCATTTTTTGCACAAACCTTTGTCATGTTCAATTCTTCCGTTAGAGTGTGTTGAACACTTTCCCTGTCTAAATTAAATTTCTCGGCTATTGCTCGAACACGCAACCCGCGTTTTTTTCTAATCACATTCGCACTTTCTCAGTGTTGTCATCGGTAACTGCTGCGCGTGGACAGCCTGGGTGGTCATCATCTTTCTCGGTTTCTCTGCCTTCCGAAAATCGTTTGTGCCATTCAAAAACGGGTGCACGAGACATGCAATTTTCACCGTAAGCCTCAGTCAATAATTGAAAAGTTTCTGTCGTGGTTTTCTTAAGTTTAACGAGAAACTTGATGTTAACTCGTTACTCAGTTTTGTAGTCTGACATTTTCTGACCGAGTGTAAGAACACGTCTATACTTCAACACACGTCCACTTGTACTGAGTGAAGCAATCGAGTTGAGCCTTGTCACACTGTGACAGGTTAGAACATGTTCGATAACCGTCTGTTGGATTTTAAACGTGTTCTGACTTATGTACAAATCAGACTTACGAATGTCCTCGGGAACTGTACCCGTTTGTAACCCAGGGACTCCCTGTATATGTACAGTGAAACCTCATTAATTCAGATTAATTGGAGGGAACGGTGATCCAGTTTAGCAAATTAACATGTTATGAAAAAACAATAATAACATGTTCAACATAAATAATAGTGATTATTTATTTAAAAAGCTGCTTCCCTTCAATTCCAAAGGGCTCCTGGATCTTGAAGTGAGTGTAGAGGCAGTGAAGGTAGGCAGTGTGGAGGCAGTTGTTGTAACACTATCATATACTACACTTTCAGATACTACATCACTTTCCAACAATTTTGAGTCATTGTCTCAAAGATCTGCACTCTACCACCTATACAGTAGTTCTTCAGACTCATCACATTGTAAAATCTGTTGAGGTCTAACACACCACTAAAACTTGAACCAGAATGTAAAGAACTGGGAGAGCCAGGACTCAACACATTGCCCACCATGTGATCCGGATTAACGAGGTTACACTCTATAAAGCAATATGGGCATATAAATCTTAGATATGATGATCCTACACAGTACTTCTACACTCATGATAGTAGTCAAATGTTCTCTGATACAATTTTCACATTGTTTTTGGCATGGTTCTTCCAGCATATTTTTGCAAATTAGTAATTGTTACCTAGAACCCTTTGTTTTCTCTAGAAATTATGGCAACAATGGTAGTTTCTTCAGATCCAGTTTTCCTCTTTCAAAGTTTTGGTCTAACTGGCCACTTTATGGGACCATTGGGACCCCCTTGTTCTCTATTTATTTTTTGGTCTTGTTTAGAGGCTGTAACTTTATCACATTGATCTCTATTAGGCTCTTCTTTATTGAGGGTCCACCTTACTTAAGCTAACAGTTGTAAAAGTTAAAAAATAAGGAACACAAAGTAACATATATTTAGCACCCAAAGTACCATAACAGCTACCTGTACTTGGAACCAGGAAATGTTATGTTAAGCCCTTTTATTGGTTGAGTTTAGGATCTGCATAAATAACACCTGAAACAAAGAAGTACTATACAGTCTCTCCTCGACTTACGACATATTCGACTTAAGACAACCCGGACATACGACGGCCATGGTCGTATGAAATATTTTTCATATTAAGTATTTTCGAGTCCCGACTTTAGTGATCACGCTGGGTACTGACAAAATTTTCGTTTATAATAACCTTTAAAATGGCTGGGAAGCATAAAAGTGAGAGTTCTCGTGGTGCTGAGAAGAAAAAGAGACACCCATTTTAGAATTTCTTTGTATTATTTTTGCCTTTTCGGCTTACGACCTGGTCGTTGGGACGGAACCCCATCGTAACTCGAGGAGAGACTGTAAATGTAGTACAGTCAACCCTCGCTTTACGCGGTCCCACTTTACGCGTTTCCACGTTTACGCGGTACCCTGCCGAAACCGGAATGCTCACTTTCCGCGGTGTGTGTACCCTTTTACGCGGAGAGCGGCGCGAGCAGGGTGCGCACAAGGTCGCCCAGTCATCAAAACATTACCGAGTTCTTCACCCGCCACCCACCACAGCCGGCCCAAGTCAGTGATAGTGATAATGATAGTGAGGATATGGACTTATATGGACTTTGAGGGGTTTGACAAAGAGGCCCTGCAAGGCTCTGTGGTGGATAGTGATACAATTGATACAAGTGATACAGGTGAGGGCCAATAATCTGCCCTCTGCCTCGGAACCAACCCCCCATCCCCCTGTGCCCAGCCATCTTTTCTACTAATGTAAGTGTTAAAAAACCTAATATTATTGATATTTCTCTTAATTATTAATTGTGTGTGTGCATACCATCATAAAATTAAGAAGTTATTTTTACTACAACGTAGGTATTGTCTGAAAAAGTGGAGTTTGGGGGGTCGGCCCGGTCTCTATTTCAATAATCCCATATGTTATGTTGTTCACTTTACGCGTTTCTCACTTTACGCGGGCAGGCGTGGGTTGAATTAACCGCGTAAAGTGAGGGTTCACTGTATATTAGCCTGATCCAAGGTTGGCACGGCTGCATGTAAACATTTCTGTACCCGGATATATTGAAAAATTTTAAGTTAATTCTTTTCAGGTGTCTATTTAATTCTTTGACTCAAAATTGGCTACTGTGAACTGCATCATTAATTTACAGAGATTAAGAATTTGTAGAGAAAATTTGAAGGTATTGTAGTGTCATATTGAAATTTAGAAAGCCGTGCATTGATTATACAGTATAGCAAATTATTAAAGCATTGTTTTATCTTGCAACTAATTTTTTGTAATTAAACTTAATTAAATATATTCACAGGTTGCTATTCGGGACACAAAGTTCTTGAATAGATACCAGTGGCGCTATATTTGCGTAGATGAAGGCCATAGGCTCAAGAACCACAAGTGTCGTCTCGCAAAGTAAGTTTTGTGTCTGTTAAATTTTTTACTTTTGGATTTTGTTATTCTTTAAGTATGGGGAGTTTTATTTAAATATGCTTTTTTTTATTTATACAGTATACATATATATATTTTTTAAGCACCATTTACAGGGTCTTAGTTTCTATGTGAGATAATTAAAAAATTGAGAAGCTTATATCTTGAGTTCCCTTTTGCTTATATTGGTGTTAGTAGCAACTTTGCAAGATTTTTAGGACTAGTCTGCCCTAGGGGTTGTACAGTAGACTATCATTTTACCGTGCTTATGGGCAGTTTGCTTGTACGGTTAAGGCATAAGCACAGTTGGGGTCCCCGCAGGAGAAAAATATTGATATAACGAGCTTCTGATACAACTATATGTGGAGGTTGTCTATCATCCTTGCTTGTTTGGTGGCTAACTATAATATCTTTCAGTCATAACTCAATAAATGGCTGCCTTACATCATGAGGTGTATGGCTATTTTTTCAGAGTCTATAATGAAAATACAGGCAGTCCCTGGGTTATGTGTGAGTTCTGTTCCTATGAATGCTTGTAAGTTGAAAATGTACTTGTGTCAAACCACATACCCTATGTGCATATCGTACTTGCAGAACAATGTTTAAAATCCCACTTTATCATAGCCAAAGTCCTTATATACATCTAAAATCACTTAATTTAAGACAAAAGAAGAATTAGAATGACGCAATACAGTAATTGAAAATAAGTAATCAGCTTAACACTTACATTGAAACCTGGGACTGGCTCCTTGGTTTTTCCTGAATCAAGGCTAGGCTTACAGGCATACACCGCTGATTTTGATCTTCCACTCATATCACTAGCAATCTTTTCATTTCAGTTATCAATCCACTTCTTTGTTTTTCTATCACAGTTGACTGCACTGGTGTTGATTCTTTTACATGTTCAAGAATTTTGTCTTTGTCTTTCAAAATTGTTCCGATTGTTGACAGTCGGAAGCCCAATGACTTTCAACTTTCACTTCCATTGTAATTGTTTTCCTTTTCTTGGATGCACTACTATCACTTGCATCAGATTTGCATTTGGGAGCCATGATGAGGGCAGAAAAATTGAGTTAAGAAAAAAAAAGTTTGACCACACACGTTACTGAGACGAGCACAGGGTGTAAGGCGTACCGATGCTACCACAAGAAGCGTCCTGTCAAGCAAACTAGTTCTTGTACATTACTACGACCGGTTGTACTTATGGAGACCTAGTTTGTATCGGTGGAAGTTCGAAAGTTGGACGTACGTAACCCCGGGACCTCCTGTATACAATTGATTGTATCAAATTTCAAGGAAAGAAAAGAAAAGTGGTTTATTTGATTAAAAAATTTTCTTCTCATTAATCATGTTTCTTTCCACCCTGCTTGATAGTAGATTGTATTGAAGAGGTAGTGGAGAATATTTAAGAAATGGAAGGATGGAATAGTCAAAGGGTATGAGAGTGAATGTGACAAACACTTAAGTTATCATTAGTAGCATAGGTAAAGGACATGTTGTGGAATATGGGAAATGTCCCGTTGCTGTCTGTAAGAAGCAGCTTGGAGAACTGCCATCGGGTAATCCTGACAAACCCATGCAAGAGTGGAAAATGGCTGTAAGATTGTGATGATGAAGTGAGAGGATTAGTGAGTGACTAAGTAATGTAGGTGTGTGTAGAGACGAAAGCCACCATGATTGTTAAATATTTTAAGAGATGATGCACTTCTGGATGAGAGGGTGAACTAGTGCATTTGGATCTTTGTTATATGTCCTTGTATTTAGGGCAATTAATGCTGCTAAGGGTTTAATTGGTGTTTTTAATTTTACCCTACCACTCAATAAACTAATATACCCCTTAAGCTGTGAAGTTTAGGAGTGTGCTGTATTGTCCAGTCTTTAAAACTTGCAATACTTTTAGTGTCATCTAAACTCTTATTTATGAATAAACCTTATGACTGGTATTCTGGTAATGTTGATCTCTTTTTGACAGGTCACTGAACACATACACATCAACTAATCGTCTCCTCCTGACTGGTACGCCACTACAAAATAACCTCGCTGAACTCTGGGCTCTTCTCAACTTCTTAATGCCAGAGATTTTTGATTCACTGGATGTTTTTGAGTCTTGGTTTGATGTGACAGACATGATGGAAGCAGGAAGTGATGTGAGGATCATTCAGCAGGAGAAAGAAAAACAAGTTATTTCAACACTCATGAAGGTAGGACTTTTTCTCTCTTCATCTCTTAGCCTTTTCTTCCTTTATGCAAGGTGGCCAGAATCAAGAGCAAATTAATGCACACATTCTCCTTTCAAGAGGGTGGTAGATCTCTGGAACAATCTACCAGCTCAATATGTATAACTGAGAACAGTACTGGGCTCCAAAATAGGTCTTGACAAAACTATCAAGAAGTGTGGAAGGATCCTACACAGGCTTCCTTCCCTCAATATGGCTGCCTCTAGTGAGTGACCATTAGGTAAATAAGGTTAACTCATTCTTACTTAAATGATGTGTGGTGTCATGGTGCTCCCTTTGTGCAACAAGATCCCAAGTTTATTTAATTTTTGTCACTATATGTTAGGGGGAATTGGGTATCCAGGAAGCAGCATTGTGCATGAATGGCTGGAGAGTTTAATATCAAATGTTTTTTTTAAGCATTAAATATTTTTATCCTACCTTAATGTGAAGTTGCCAGTTTAAAAATCAGACACATTCTCCCTTCATTGTTAGTTTGTATTCTTCCTGCCGTAACAGATAAGTTTGGCTGTAGAGCCTTCCTTCCATGACAATGCCCAGTGTCCATCTGGTTTACCCCGTTACATCACAACCCAGAGTCACCCCTAAGCATACTCCCCTTTCATTCATGCACACTGCATCATGGATGTCCAGCCCTCTTACTTCTAGTGTGTTCTTCACCCTATCCTTCCATCGCCTTGATCTTCCCCTGAATTGTAATTCATTTTTTCAATACTCTATTTCACTTCCCATTATCTGAGATGACCTTTATTTCGTCTCTGCATGACATTTCTCTTAATTCATTTTCTTTATTTCTTCTTCTCTACATCTTGAGTATCCCACTTAAGACTGTGGAATTTAGTTTTTAATGCTTAGAATTTGCTCCTTCCTTTTGTATCAATATAATTAATCATTCCCTCCTGCCTATACCATAATGTTAACTCATCTTTGCCTTCCTTGATACACCTCTCTGGTTCTCTCCTTCCTTACATTTCTTAATGCTTTTCTCACTCTCCTTCCTGCATCTTGTCTATTTGCTGACATCTTGGGATCCTAGACTTGAATGCAGCACAATGCTCTGAAATTGAAGCTACAGTAATAAGTTACCTAAGGCCCACATCAGGTATTACCAGAATGGAATGGAAAAGAAATGATGAAGTGTATCAGGTACTTTGAGTGGTAGAGAAAGCAGAAGGTGGGTAGAGTTTGTGTTGTTGTTGATTCTGGTCAACTTACGTCTTTACCAGGAAAGAGTTAACAAGAGTGAAAAAACTTTATAGAACTTTACCATGACTACATTTAAAACTTTTCTCCCCTTTTGTTTTTGCCAGATCTTGAGTCCTTTCTTCCTGCGGCGAGTGAAGAAAGATGTAGACCTCGACATTCCCCCAAAGAAGGAATTGCTGGTGTTTACTCCAATGACGCCGCTACAGGTGGAGCTGTATGAGGCCACCCTAACATCAAATCATGCTCTGTTCAACAACTTAAAGGTAGTTTCTTGTGCTCATTCTCAATTTATTTTTGCAATTTTGTAAAACCAGGTAGAGTAGGAAAAGAAAAGTGGAGTACAGTAGTTTGTTTTAAATAGAGATATAGGAAGCAAATGGGAGGTGAGTCAGCTGCTGTTTGCAGATGACATTACAGTATCCTGATAAGTGATTCAGAAAACTTACAAGTGTTAATGAAATGAGTTTGGAAGTGTGTGTACCAGGAGAAAATTAATAGCAAAACTGAATACATGTAAAGTGATGTAATAAGGAAAGAGAGATAAGGAGGAATTATATTTAGTTTAACTTGAGGTAAGTTGTAGGAAGTATGTATGGTGTTTATGATATCTGAAAATAGCCAAGTGAGTGATGGAAAAAATGTGTTGAGTTGATGTGAAGCCTCAGCAAAGGATGGAGAAGAAATAAATTACCCGGCAGACATTTCTAAAATTACAAGTGTGAGATGGGCCTTTCTTTTTAGGAATGTTTACAGTCCATAATATCTTGAACTTTTGTTGCTGTTTTGACTAATGAGAATCTTGATGAGAATTTAGACTTACGGGACTAATGTTCTTCATTTGGTATTCAGTAGTAGATGATGTAATGTATAAGATTTTTTTTGTAAATAATACAGGAATCCCAATAAATACACTAATTCAATTTTGTTAGGATTTTGTCATTATTGTGTCTTTCCTCTTTTACAGAAACCTGCTCCTGAACCTGTGGAGTATAACGAACGTGGCCGACCCAAACGGAAAGCGAAAATGAACAGTGACTTTTCAGTATTGTTTCAGGAATATGATGGAGTTTCAGAAAATTCCATTGATGTTTATATCAGTGCAGTGAACAAATTACATGAGAAAGCAGCCCAGTAAGTGAAGTTTTTATTAGGTGTCTCTTGGTACTTGTCAGGTGGTTGGAATGAATGACCACTAAATAAGGGTGTGTATGTCCATTCGTATCCTTGATTTTCAACCATTTGGTATTTAGAAATGGGTTTTTTATGGTCCGTTGATTTGATTTAAATTTGAAGTGCAAATGTATGTTCCTTTCAATTGTAATTAGAGGAATATATTTTAATTCTGGTTTCATATCCAGACAATACCTCAAATGCTTGACTTAGTGTGCTTAAAATTTGAAACTCGTTCTTTACATTGTGTATTACTGTACACTGAATTATTTTTTGATGACTATTGGCAGAGTTTTGTGTAGAGTTATGATGGTTTTGGCATGTAGAGAGAATGAGAAGACTAACTGGTGCATGAGGAAATATGGAGGGGAGGAGAGCAAGGGTTGTAAGAAATGACCTCATCAGGTAATCACAGTTCACTAATGCAGGAATGGATGATTTATTTCCTCATCATGAATGATTATGAATGTCATTATCATAGCAGTGTGTTAATCAGCCAGCTTGAAACTGATGCATGGACCAGAAAGGCAAAATTTTAAATAAAAAATTTACCATCTCGGTTGAAATAGAAAGTGTGTTGTTTACATATATTTACATGACAGAATAAATTGAGTAAGGCAGCCAGAATGAGAGTGTGAGGGTGAGTTTGTTGTTCTTGAGGCAAGCTACCCTGCACCAAAGTGATAATGGAGTAGCAAGAATTCTGAAAAAAACTTATTTAATGATAATTATTCAACATGTGTTATATCTTAATGACAAATTCTTTTGTTTCAATTTTCAGTGAAGAAGTTAAAAAAACCTCTGTTGTAAGAGTTAAGCTGCAGAATAAAATGATGCAATGTCGAAAAATTGTAAATCATCCTTACCTGATCAATTATCCACTGAACAAAGATGGTACATACAAGGTATGTTATCAATACTGTTGACTGAGAGAATTCAACAGTTATTGCTTGCAGTTATTTAGGAATTCTCATATGAAATAATCTTTCATCTCATAAAGACTATTTTTAATACATCTTTATCTACAAAGCTTCACCATGACAGAAAAGCCTTGAGGCCACCTCACCACTAGATCACCTTTGCTCTCACTATCCTCCACACCCCTCACCCATTGTCACCTTTTCCTCTCACTACATATAAAGGTAATATCTCCAATAGCCAGAATTGAAATTTTCTTGGAAAATCGTTCCCAAAGCAGGAATTTTCTGGAAATTTCCGGCTTTGGGAAAGATTTTCTTTCGGGGGGGGGGGGATGATGATGATGATGATGATGATGATGATGATGATGATGATGATGATGGTGATGATGATGAAAATCCGACGCATTTTCGGAAATTCTGAGGAAAATTTTTCCAGTACCATGAAAATTCTGGGGATGGGGATATTTTTCTGGGTTCAAGAGATGATGGGCAATTTCTGGGACTTCCTAGAAAATTATCCTGTTACCCAGAAAAATCTGGGGATGAGGGATTTTTTTCCGGCTTTGAGAGAGTCGTCTCGTTACCCGGAAATCCCTCATTCCCGGAAGTGTTCTGCACCAATTTTTCCGGCTAGCAGAGATATCACTGTTAGTGTTACTGAGAGGAATGCTCATAACTGTGCAGACTGAGATGCCATTTGTACATATAACCTTTTATGCCCACATTTAAATGGCTTTAAACCTAAACAATGAGGTTTTTGAAAAGAATGTATCATTGAATTTTTATGTCCCTGCTAATTTCAGTGAGGGGCATTCTTATTATGTTTATACCTGTACAGAGCCATTACTATCTCTAAATATATACCACAATTATGGCCTCATGGAATTTTTTGGGAGTGGAACTATCACTTTCAATGGTTCACTTGCTCTTAACTGATTTTTTATCGTATTGTTTAATGGGGCAATTCATTCAGTTATATTTGGGCTAAGACTACCCTGACTATAGCATTTAGGACTACTACTAACATTTTGTATATATTTATGTACTCAGGTGGATAATAGTCTTTTGAAAGTGTGTGGGAAGTTGCAAGTACTAGACCAACTTCTGGGGGAACTGTACAAACGTAAACACAGAGTTCTTCTCTTCTCTCAAATGACGATGATGATGGACATCATTGAAGACTACCTCACCCTCAGACCACAGTATAAGTGAGTCTTATTCTTGCACTATTTTGAAGAATCTAGATATAAGTTAAGTATTCCTTTTCTGGCCTCAGAGTTTGTTGTAGCAATCCCTTTTTGAAAAATCTAAATGTTGTACAAGATGGAATTATGTGTTTTTGAAGCATAGAAGCCTAACTTCTGGATACAAGAGAAAGAAGCAGAGAAAATATGCACTTAAAACCAGTATTTGATGTTAATTGGCTAGAGAATATACAGTACAGTACAGTGAAATCAGAAATTGAAGTGCTGGGCAGAGTGGCCAAGGGTTTGGTGTGGTGGTATAGACATACAGAGAGAATGTGACATGAAAGATTGATAAGAAGAGTAAAATTCAAGAGTGATGGTGCGAGGAAAAGGGAAACAAAGGAGAGGGGAAATTGGGATAAAGGACATGCTTGGAGTGGAGGAGATGGATATCCAGAAAACAACAATGGTTGTAAATAAAGAGGATGGAATCAAGTGATTTTTTGAGAAAAACGTGATAAGTGATGCCAGGATGTGTGAAGCAGTAGATAAATTTGGTAAATCATGTGGGGCTTTTGTGGAAAAGGAAGCACCATGGCAGAGCACATCAATTGCAAAAGTAAGAATGAAGGAATGACAGCAAATGAATGAGGAGTCTGTTTGTGTACTTCTTATTGCTCTTTGTTCCAGTGTTTTGTAATATAATGGGAGAAGACCTTGGAAGAGTGGGAAGGAAAAGTTAATGTGAAACTTGGTTCTTGCTCATTAACTTTGCAGATTACTTGAGAGATTATAACCATTAAGATCCATAGGTACATAGTGATATATGAGGAGCAGCATCCAATAGTTTACTAATGACCAATTTCCATTACTGTGTCAAAGTCAAGTGAAAACCATAGTAAAAGTGTTGATTTACCTCAGTAATTTTAGATAAAGCATATGTTATTGCATATTATCTTTCCTTGCTAATTAAAAGTAATGAATGTATAATGTGCCTTAGCCTATTAGTATGTTTGTAGGCTATTTCTAAACTTAATGAAATTTTCTGTTTTGTTTTGTTTCTAAGATATTTACTTTACTAAGGAAAATATTTCTATAAATTTTTTACTAATATTATATGAAGTTTAAATAATGCTTAGATATACTGTATTTGTATTATAAAGCTGCAAGGTTATGTTTAATACTAATTGTCAGATGGTTGAGCAGATTGTAAGCAAATAATACATAAAAGCTATGGCCTGCTCAGAAGTTGACAGTTTAGTATTATCCAACCATAGCCACTACTGATATTTTGATCACTCCCTTAACTTCCCGACAGTTCACAAAAATATTTAATATTTACCCACGTCTGCAAGGTGGTTCATGTAGATTCCTCCCAACTCATTTTATCTAGTACAACTACAGACACTGTACCTTGTTCATCTCCTTCACAGCCAGATATTCTCTCCTGAACCTGCTTCACTTTGGTGTTTGGTTCATATCACTCACACTTGTACTCAGCCATCACACTTGCACTCAGCCATCACACATTATTTCTTTCTCTTATTTCACTCTATTGCACTCACAAATATCATGTCCTCTTTCTTTGCCTGTCGCACTTACACACTTATATTATCAGCTTGTTCTTTCACTCTTCATAATGTTGTTTGATTTTTGACAGTTATAAACGTCTAGATGGCACTAAGAAACTTGAAGAACGTCAGATAGACATCAGTGAATTCAACAACACAGACTCGACAGACTTCATATTTTTGCTGAGTACTCGTGCTGGTGGTCTGGGCATTAACCTTGCTTCTGCTGATACTGTCATTATCTATGACTCAGACTGGGTAAGTTATCAGTTTCATGTACAGTACAGTACACTACACTCATCTGCTGCTCGTCATTGATTAAAGTCTGGATAGTTTATTTTAATAGAGATACACTGCAGGGAAAGGGTGGTTCACACATATATAGGTTGAATGGCTAAGGTCTGTGTTTCAGGTCATGCTTGTGGGAGGAACTTAGTAGGTGGTTGATAGGGCCGGTCCACTGCTCATGCATAAGGGAGAGGTGCTCCTAGTGTGAGATAAAGCAGAGTGGGAGATGCTGTGCCAACACCGTAGTTCAGTAATTGTTAACTTCTGGAGAAATGCTACAGTTAGATAAAACTTGCTTGTGAGTGCTGGTAATTAAGTTGCAACCCAGTACTGAGTGACTGAGGCCTAACAGTGAAAACATTGCTCAATAACAGTGGCCCTCCTGAAAAAACAAATAACAACCATGGGAGAACTGTTAAAGAGTAAATGTTGGTAAGTTTAGCTGACACAAAGAACGTAACTTTCAAATTGCTGTTTAGGGGGTTGACTTACCTGCCTGGTATAGGCGTAGATCAACAATTTCGGTTGGAATAATTGAGGTCGTCTTATACGACAGGTGAACTTATAACGTGCAATACTATACAGTATATACAGTCCATTATAGAGTTATGCCAACACTGTGATTTTGGTTGATATCGATACTCCGATATGTACTTAGAAATGGTTGAAACTTTGCCGATATTGATAAACCAAAATGCACAATTGCAATAATATTGATAAATACACAATACCGGTATGCTGTTTCATATGATAAACAAATAAAACATTTAACTTGAAGCAATATAAGTATTGTATATAGCAAATGTGTTTAGGAATTTAATTTAAATAATTGTAAAACTTTTTTTTTACGGGGATTAGACCACCTGGGCACAGGTCACTGACCCACATCGGGGCCTGGGGGGCAAAAATGTAATAGTAGTAGTAACAGTAATAATAATAATAATAATTCATTGTAAGTAAAATTTATAATAAATACAAAATTGAAAATAAAATAATAATAATAATAATAAAGTACCGTAAATAAATACAAAAATGAACAAAAAAGATCAAAAGTGAGAAACAATATATATATGTATGTTGTGTTCTCAATAGTAAGAGAAACAATTGAGACCTGCAATTGTGTGTAAATGAGGCAGAAAGTCAGATCAGCAACCTGGGACTTGGTCACAATTTTCGTGATGCCATATGGCAGCAGGGTCTACCATTAGACAATACATTATGCTTCCAATACAGTATCCTCCCAGGCAGTAGTACCTCCCTGTTTGGTAGAAGTCTAGTATTACGCTAAAGAAGGTTCCTGTAACTTGTATTCCAGAAAATCGTCAATGCTTCCACATTTTGAAATTTGTTATTCTTGATCAGGTTGTCAAATTTCCTTAGATTTCCTGATTAAAATACTGTACTCAGTTTCCTTATAAACACCTGTCCCAACCCCTGGGGCCTAGTGCCAAATAAATTAATAATAATAATAATATTATTTAATTTTAATTTTTAAATTTTTTATTATAAATTATTATAAATTAGTTAAATTACCCCATGTATTATTATTATTATTATTATTATAATTATTATTATAATTATTATTATTATTATTATTATTATTATTATTATTATTATTACTATTATTATTATTATAACTATTATTATTATTACTATTATTATTATTATTATTATTATTATTATTATTATTATTATTATTATTATTATTATTATTTTTACTATTTACTATTTACTTTTTCGTCCCCTAGGCCCCAATGTGGGTCAGTGACCTGTGGTCAGGGTACCATCATTCTTCTGCAGTAAATTACTTCTTTTAATATAACAGAACCCCCAAAGTGATCTCCAAGCTCAAGACCGCTGCCACAGAATTGGCCAGACGTCACCCGTTCTGGTGCTACGTCTCGTCACCAAATCTACGATAGATGAAAAAATTGTGGAAAGGGCGGCAACAAAACGAAAACTAGAAAAATTAATCATCCAGTCAGGAAAGTTCAATGCAGCCAAACAGAGTGAACGAAAATTTGAGAAAGTATTGGACGAAGAAGAGTTGATTGGCCTATTGAATCAGAGGGATCATGCGAGAATACACCAAACTACAACTGGTCACAGTAAGATATAGCACATAATATTTTTGTGATGATACATGTTTATATGTAAGCTTATGTGATTATATATGTAAGTAGAAGTGAAGAGAGCCATCTATAATTTATCTTTGTCCTTTGTACTGTTGTGTTCACTTGCATATGTGCATGTTTATGATCAGCTGATGGTAACCAGTGGCAGAGGTACAAGCTTTATAGTATTCATTTAACTTAAACAGTTCAGCATAGTACTTAATTCCCTAACACTATATTATAATTACTGTACATTGTGCTGTGCTGTAATGTTGAGTACTGTATACTGTAACTCATTTCAGTGACAATACTGTTCACTACACAAATCTTTCACTTACTGTTGCAAAGGTGATGATGTGGGGTGGTAACGATTTGTAGGTCTGGTAGGTAATACTTCGTCCAGGCATTTTACTGTGAACTTATTAATCCTCCAATTTAAAAATTTCTCATATTAGACAGTCGTGGGTACAGTACAGTACAGTATATATCATTTTGAGGGATTATTAGTAGAACACAGATATTTGTAGTTCTGTCCTCTCCCTCCATTACCCTCACTTCAAAGCTCTCCTATCCTACCTCACTTTGCTTTGTTCATGGGTTTCATATGTGGTCAGTAAGCTGTTTTTATCTTATTTATTTTTGAAGAAGTATTAATTAACCCGTGAAGTGAAATAATTATTTTTTGAGATTTAAGTGAATCTATACAAGTAAATATATTTTGGGACCCTTGAAAGTAATTATGTATTTACTATAGGATGGATGATTACAATTCATTAGGTTTGTTGGATTTTAATGCTACTGACACAACACTGTTGGTGCTCTTAAGGCCCCACCTCACCCAACCAAACCTAACTTACAAGAAGTAAATATACATATTAGTACATTTGATTGGTGAAACAATTGTTACAAATTCTCAGAAAATGGTTCTTTCCTCCTCCTGCTTACCTTCCCTTTTTGTTTATGAAGGAATTACATTAAATCCACATGTCTACCACAAAACCAAGAAATTAATTCCTCTTTCCACTGAGTGATTGATCAAACAGTTTCTAAACATACAGACACAGGAAAGTGGGAGATTTTTCATCAGTAAAGAAAGGCCTGCTTGAGGCATATACAGTGCTTCATTTTTTTTTATTATAATGTGAATCTGGGACATATTAGGGTTAAGGCCAATTTATCCTGCTGCCTCTTTCCGGGTAACTGAAATATTTTGTACATTGATGTGAATGTTTAACATCCCACATGTACAGTGTATTGAAATTAAATCTGTAAATTTAGCTTGAGATTTTCAGATACAAAGTGAACAATAAAGACAATACTGTACTGGCTGAGCTAACTGAGAGCTGGGGAACTCTTGGTAGCACTAGATAAATACTTTACAATACATTTATCTTAAGGAACTTATAATATAAGAGTTAGTATCATTTGGATTACAACATATTAGTTGATGATAGTAAACACATATATTATATAAGATGTGATGTAATTGGTTGAAGTTTTGATTACTTTCCATATTAATTGGATTTTCTTTCAAGATAATGACACACTTAAGAAATATTTTGCTGTATTCAAATTTTACTATAAAGTATTTTGTTGAAGATGTGTAAAGGATTAATCAATGTTTTTAAATGTTTTCAGTTTTCTCAAAGAAGGAGCTGAATCAGCTGCTCGACCGTAGTGACATGACAAAGAAAGAAAGGCACAGAAAGGAGGCGAGTGAACTTCATGGTGTCTTCAAGGTTGTAAATAAGGATCTATAAGATGTGTACTATCAATGAGAGAAGACCTGTAGTGTAGTCATAAAGTTTTTCTCCTTAGTAAAAAAACAAATTGTGAATCAGGTATTCTTTTATATTTTTTTATAATTTACTAAGCAAATCACACTTTTCTGTGTTATTTAAGTGATTAATTTCTTTCATAAATGTGTTTATTTTGTATGGAAATGACAAGTTTTGCTCCTAATTTTATATTTTTTTTAGTTCTTGTGTAATTGCTGTTGTAAGTTAGTACAGTACTATAGAAACTCCTTTATCATTCCTGTCATGTGATCAAACAAGTGTCCATCATCATCAGGCCCCTTGTGTCTTATACAGGGGGAGGGGGGGGGGGGGTCACAAATGAAACAAGTGAATTAGTTTGAAGTTATATACTTATAATGGACCCTCTTTGAAAGTAACACTTTTTTTATTTAATGTTGAAATTATTTTTAATACAGTTCGTATTTACAAACTTTTGTTACAAATTTAATAGTTTTTTTGTCTCCCGAGGAGAATTAGTTTTAAGTGCAACTAATAGTGCTGTAGTCTTTGTTATTTGAAGAATCCATGTGAGCACCAGGTTTAGGGAAGTGTGTGTACACCAGACTTGTATTACAGCAGCAGGTGCACTAGTGAGTCAAGGACTGTGGTAAGTCAAGACCTGAGACTAAGATAACCCTTGACATCATCCAAGATGAACTACTTAAGAAAATTTAAGACACCATAAATGATAGTAACTTTATTGTCTACTCTTTATCTTGGTTTAAGATCCTGCAGGTGATGTATCTGCCAATTGTCATATTTGTTTTAATTTTCGTTAGGTAAAGGATTTTACATTGAGCACTGGGGAGCTTTGTCCCAGGAGAATTTTCAGTCCTTGGATTAAATAGTTTTTTCACTACATGTATCATGTGGACCAAACAAGGTACCTGTGCCTCACCACTCAAGTGTTCAGGTTATGAGGCTGATGATTCATTATTGGATATAGTTTTAAGTACAGCATAGAATTTTATGGGCACCAAACCTCACTATCAATTTTATGTATAGTAAGTCATTAACATGAACTCATTTTTTACCATCACACTTCTTTGTCTGGTTACATATTGGAGTGTTGGAGGAACATATTTTGTGCTCATTGTTAGAAGTTTTAAGTTCTCTTGTAGCCAATTTTTTAAACAAGAGAATTACCGTATATATTCGTGTATAGTTCGAGTTTTTAAGACCAAATTTTTAGGCAAAAAATTGGGGGTCGTCCTATACATGCGTAATAGTTTTGTTAGGTTGAACCCGTGCATGATGGGAAGGGCGAGGAGCAACTTTGAGCTTTAGACATGAAAAATATTTACCATTTACTGCCAGTAAACAATGGAAATGTAAAATATGTACCAATTAGTAATGAAAAGTTATGCAGTTCCTTCAGCAAATGAAGCTCACCAACTTACAATAGGCTAAATTACCTTACAACGTGCTTTCAGTAGTCTATGTTGAAGTTCTTAGCACAGGCTAACTTATCATATCATATACGGTATCACAGTTCTCATTGATCTACAAAAAATACCGGTAATAAAAACCTTTTCGATATTTCACACTTAATATAATACCCGGTAATCTACTTCAACCTCCTATTGTTTACAACGACGCATCACGCACCACCAGCTGTATCAGCTAGACGGTACACGTGTTTTACGAATCGTTTTCAGTTAAAAAACTGTTACATCACATGTATATTTTACCTTAACTGTGCCTGAATGAATAAATTCTCAGAAATAAATAGTAGTTTTGCTGAAAAGTGATGTATTTTAATGTAAAATAGGATAAAATACATGACGATAACAAAAGATTTTACCTATCCTTCCGATGTTCAAGAGAAGTCACTCGTTTTTTTAATAGTTTTCGGTTAAAATTCTGTTATATTACAATGATATTCTATTCATACTGTGCTTGATATAATACATTCACGGAAATGTAATATTTTTGCTGAAATGACGTACGTATTACAGTGGAAAGTGACGAAAGCAATGACTTTCGCTTTCTTTCATTCAAAAGATGTTACCATAATCGCTTTTCGAATGGTTTAGTTAAAAAACTGTTGTATTACAATAATATTCCCTCCTAATTGACTTGAGAAAATACTTGAATGGAAATATACAATATTTTTGTTGAAACTACCCGCGTTTCAGTGTAAAGTGTCGTAATAATAAATGGTAAACAATTTGCCTTCGGCACTTGTGTTTCAGTTTATAGGACGAAGAGCGTTTTTACTGAAGGTTTTGTTGTTCCATTACCCTCAAAAACATGGGTCGAACTATAAACGAGGGGGGGTTATAGACGAGTATATACGGTAGTTTGTCACATGTAAGATGAACATATAGTGTATGTTATATATACACTATTGTACTGTATTGTCCAAGTTGAGGAACTTCTTTTCTTTTTCTCACATATAGTAGTTTGGTGTCAGTGGAGCACATTCTTCCCTGCATTTGACCTCTTACTTATGACCCCATATGCAGTCCACCTACCTGCTCATTATCTCGCTCACATTACTTACATATTATGTGGTCTCTTAAGTGTGTCAAAATAGAGGATAGTACTAAAAAGTGATTCAATTTTTCTTTATGGTATGTGAAGGTCATGAATAACTGTCTGTAGCTTATTAGTTCATTATATTAATTTTATGAAGAAATCCAGGTGGCTCACGTTTACAACTGTATAACTTGTTAATCCTTCATGTGAAGAAAAAAAAAATTGTACCCCTAAAATGTACAGTAGACCCTCATTATATTAATTTTATGAAGAAATCCAGGTGGCTCACGTTTACAACTGTATAACTTGTTAATCCTTCATGTGAAGAAAAAAAAAATTGTACCCCTAAAATGTACAGTAGACCCTCAATATATTGTAAGAAAGGGACCGAGAATTATGATGAAATAGCAATTCATGATATATTGATTTGTTTATTTCAGTAGGAAATATAGGGAGCAGGACTGGAGCTCCCTAGATTCTTGTAAGACGCTTATTTCATCTGACCGGACCCTCCACAGGCTATCTTGGCACTTAAGTTTGTCCATTGTAGTAAAGTGTCAGTTGAAAGTCTACTTCATGAAATAATCTGTTTTACAATATTCATGAGAAATCTAAATTTGAAATTTAAAAATAAATATTTTTCATTTCTTTAATATTCCTGAGGTTACATTAGAGTAAATGAGGAAAACTTGGACTGTGAAATAATGAGGGTTTACTGTTCTGCATAATGTTTACCTTGTCTAAAAATGCTCATTAAAAATAAAAGTCTTGAAGATTATATAGCAATAGTATTAAGAATTTTTATTTAAAGTTATGTACTGCACAGTATTACCCAAAAAGAAAAGTCCTACAATTCTATGTTGATAATCCTATTGATGGAGAAATCCAGTCCCAAAATAACTGCCAGTTGTTTTCACTAAACATTCAGATACAATATGTATTTTTCTTAACCAATTTGGCCATCTTTTTTTACTTTAGTTTTTAAATCTTCACCTTTATCTCACCAGTGAGATAAAAATGTGAAATAAAATTACTTTTGTAAGCATGAATTTTCCCCTGACCTTTTCATCTTACTTCATTAATTTGTAATTTCTACACATATTCTACATGTGCTCTTTTCCTCTATCTTTTATCAAAACTCGTGTACGTAGAACATTTCTTTGAATCCGCACTAATAATGGAAACCCTCCTGGCCAACCTACCACAATAAATCTTGCTTGTAAGCAAATGGTTTCAGCATAACAATAAATGTTCCATTACAACCAAACCTCATATGATTTTTGTGCATTGTTACTGAACTATATCTTTTATCATTGATGAGGAATTAACCATTCTGTAGGTTACTACACTATTACTGCACAATAGTTAGTTTTCTGAATTTTCAGCAGCTGTTGACAATCCCTTATCCGAAATCCTTGGGACCAGATGCATTTTGGTTTTTGGAATTTTTCGGATTTCAGAATGGTTGATATATATATATATATATATATATATATATATATATATATATATATATATATATATATATATATATATATATATATATATATATATATATCATTTCGGCTCAGTTCCCAGAAAGGTCATTAGATTAACCGAAAGGATTCGTTAAACGAAACATTATTTCAATGGTTTTTAGGTATTAGTTCCTTCTGAAAATTTCCTAAATTCAACAAAAAATAGTGAAAGTTCACTTACTTTGAGGTATTATGTAGAAGGCTCCTGGATGATGATGATGATGATGAAGTTTCAGAATAGGTGGAGGAGAAGGAAGAAGAGAAGGCATTGGGGTGGAAGAGAAGTCACCCCATGGTGCCATTTCACCCATAAAATTTTAGCTCTGGTTTAATTCAAGATTATTTTCTTTAAATCAACGCTGCACTGCATTATATATTGTCAATATATAAAATATATTTCAAAATGACCAATAATTTGCTTGGAAACAGAAAAAAAGCGTTTAGTTGAAGAGAGTCTCAAGCAAGATGTTACCTCCAGTGAAAACAGAGAGACTAACTCCTGTTTGCTGTGTTAAGAGGCTGGATGCCGCGCATTAAACTAGTCACTTTACCTTCAATTATGTTCAATAATTGTTAAAATGACTAAAAAATTGAATATTAAACTTTTAAAATTATTGAATAGTATAAACTTCTTGATATTTACCAAAATAGTAAGGAATTTAAGCCCTAGAACCGATTAATGTATTGGCGGACTGATACTAAAGCTGGTTGCCCGGTCAGTGCAAGCAAAAACATGTTGAGGGTTGGTTCGTAAGAACTTCGTTAACCGAATTTTTTTTCGTTAACCGAATTGAAGATCCTTATGGAAGGCAGTTCGTTAATCGAAATTACGTTAACCGAGGTGTTCGTTAAACGAGGGGTCACTACCATATACTGCCTGCTCCTCTTTCTCTTCTCTTCTCTCTCTCTTATCAACCATTACGAAATCAATTTACAAAAACAAAATGTTTTTCATTCTTGTATTTCTTTATTATTATTATTATTTTATTAATACAGTATTATTGTTATTATTATTATTAATTTTATTATTATATTTTCTTCTTATTATTATTGTTATTATTATTATTTTATTTTGGTGTATTTTTTATTAAATTTTTTTTCTTGCTATGAATAATTATTATTATTATTATTATTATTATTATTATTATTATTATTATTATTATTATCATTATCATCCCCCCAGGCCCCGATGTGGGTCAGTGACCTGTGCCCGGGTGGGCTAATAACACCCCCCCCCCCAAAAAAAAAATGCTCCACAAAAAACTTTCGGTTCTCAGAGCTTTTCGGACAAAGGGTTGTCAACCTGTACTACATCTGTTTCCTACTGAGATGTATAATTTTTTTTATCTATTAAGCTTATTGAAACATTAGGTTTAAGGCATCAAAAACTTCCTTTAATTTCTAAAAACTTTGAAGTACAAGTACAGATATTCCAGGAATTCATGTGCTGATTTTTCATAAGTTGCTTGTATGAGTGGCCTAAAAAGTCTGGCTCACGGGTTTCAATAAACCAACTCTCTTTCTTTTGTGATGTGTATTTACACACTGTTAAGGCTTATGGCGGTGCAGTGACTGAGTGGATATACAGTAGAGCTGGCCTTCTGTCCCATGGGTCACTTGTTTACATCCAAGGCACCTAAGTTAGTCCAGGTTTGAATAGGCACTTGACTGATATTGGGGATGTGAAGAGTGTACAGTAGTGCCATACAGTACTGTGTATTGTAAATGACTGACGTATGAACCTATAAGTTTGTTTACATGATGATAAAACTCATTGAGCCATGTACGTGCTTGAGAGGTTATTTTATTTTTTTTACAAGTTTATGGCAGTTTGATGTTTACTTAGAACACAAGATTTATTATGTAGATTGTTATTTTGTTTTATTTATAAGCATTTAAAGAAAAGAAAGGAAATGTCTACTCTACCAAATGTCTTATTGACCATACTGTATTTTAAGTTTGTGGTATTAGTAAATTCAGTATTATGTTCTTCATTGGACTTCATTAACCTATGCAAGGATTAAAATTTTTCAAATGGGTAATTTTTAGTCCTTTTGATTTGTATATGATTTATTTACTGTTTGTATTGCCTAATTTCTTTGGAAATAATAAAGATTTTTTTTTTTTTTTAATTTTATATCCTATGTGCTATTGATGTACTGTAGTGTACAATATTTTGCTATGTGTAATCTTGGGTTTGTTGTGGAAGGGAAACACCATGGAAGAATATACTGTATCTGCTGCAGTGGTAAGAAAGAATGGTTG